TTTAACATGATCTTCACTGTTAGACTGAAGTATAATATGACCAATTGTGGTACAATTTCCAGTTGATGTTTAAAAGGTATACACAGGACCAATACATTTGGTTTGTACATTCACAGGTAGCATGTTAGCCCCATCTAGAAAGGACTGGAAGACAGAAGACATTTCATACTCCTAACAATGGCGCCGATGGTATCGAATGTGTTGACGGGAGCTCTGGTATTTTTAGTCATTTTTAACCGTTTTTATCCACCAAACCATGTACTTTTATCAGACATTCATCCAGTGGAGATTTCTGAATATACCCTCAGTAATAACTGGGAGTTTTTTTATCATCTGGAGGTGAACGAATAGTGCTTTACAGATTTTCTGTCACTGACGTGAGTACAACTCATAACCGAACATTGTCCACACCCCGTCAATACCTACACTCATCTATGCCTTGTAAAGTCAAGACTAGTTTTATAGTTTCCATTTTACTATAAGCGATGTATCGTCAAACCCTGGCCCCATTCGATTTCCCTGTGGATCTTGTATGAAGTCTGTACGCTCCAACCAGCAAGCCATTTTATGTGAAGGTTGTGAACTATGGTTTCACAGGAAATTATAGACATGCCTGTAAATGAGTAGTTTCGTCTTGGAAACTCGACAATTACAGATTGGTATTGCTCTGCATGTTTGCTACCCTAATTTTCAGACTCTCTATTTAATGACAGCAGCGTCGATAAAATTGATGCAACACACATTTCTCTTACCAGAGAGAGTAATCTCCCCTCTCCTGATTCTCCACTTCCGGAGATAGAATTTTTCCACTAATGTAAACAACAGCACATTGAACAGCGATGATATACAGTACAATTTTCATGATCTGAAAACTACGAGAGACTTATAAGAAGAATATCATCGTGTGTTACCTAAATGTAAATAGCTTTAGGAACATATATGCTGAACTCTTTGACATTTTCTATGAAGGACTATGCGATATTTTATTTATCGGTGAGTCAAAGCTAGATGACACTTTTAGACAATCGTGTTTTGATGTGCCGGGTTTTCGATCATTTCGGAAGGACCTTAGTGCACACGGAGGAGGCCTTATTGCCTATGTTCGCTCTGATCTTCCATCGCGCAGGCGGACTGATCTAGAATTTGATGAAGTGGAGTCCATCGTGATTGAATGTTCCATCCAGAAGCAGAAATGGGCTTTCGTTGGTACTTATAAACCCCCATCCATGAATGTCAATACTTCATCAAACGCTGTGACTATATCTACTGATCGTATTTCCACAAAATTCGACAATTTTATGGTTTGAGGAGATCTGAATTTTGACTGTCTTGATGAATGTAAGGGCAAACATCTTCTAGATTTCTGTGATCTTTTTTACCTCACTTATAAAATTACAGAAGCTACTTGTTTTATGAAAGGTTGTGTCCCTTCTTTAGTTGATGTCATTCTCACTAACTGCCCTAGACTTTGTTTTAAACCAATATATTTTAAATGTAGTCTAAGTGACTGTCACAATTTTATTGGAACTGTTATAAGAGGTACAGCACCATGTTAACGTAGAAGTAAGTGTAAGTTTAGAAGTTTTAGAAAGTTTGAACCAGATGTTTTTAACTCTGAATTATCTAAAGTTCCTTTCCATGTATCTTATATTTTTGATGATACAGAGGATATCTACTGGGCTCATGATAAGTTAATGAGAGAAGTTGTTGATGCCCATATACCTGTTAAGGAACGTAGACCTCGTGTAAATAAACCTCCCTTTTTAAATAGTAATGTTAAAAGGACAGCCCATAAGAAAGCTATGCTAAGGAATAGGTATAACCTTATGAGAACAGCTGCTAACTGGGAAGCCTACAGAAGGCAAAGAAATTATGTAGAAAAGGCGGCCTGCAAAGATTTCTGGCCTACCGTAGTAAAGCCTTTTTTATCCAACAAATATTTTAATGACCAGAAAATTATTTCAGAAGAAAATGACAAAAGGACAACATTGTATCTAGTCAGAATGAAGTTTGTGATGTTTTTGATAATTTTTTCTCCACTGTTGCTGATGGTATTGGTAAAGATCTTCATGGTATGTCAGATTTTACAGACCACCCCAGTAATGTCAAAATTCGAACTGATCTCTGTCAAGATAACTTTAGAGATGCTTTTATTTTTAAGTCTGTAAAGGTGAAAGATGCTGAGAAATTATTAACAGAACTTCACGCGAAAAAAGCTACAGGTTTTGATGGAATGTCAGCTAAGCTTTTAAAAGCTGGTCCAGAAGCTTTTACCCCTGTTACATCACTTTTTAATTATTGTGATTCTGTTTCTCACTTCCCTGATGCTCAGGTATTACCTATTTTTAAGAAGAATGATCCTATGGATAAATGTATTTTTATACCAGTAAGTATTTTACCATCCTTGTCAAAATGTTTTGAAAGAATAATACATGACCAGCTTAGTGAATTTTTAAGCCGGTTTTTAGCCCTTTCTTGTGTGCTTTCAGGAGCGGTTACGGGTGCCAGTCTGTCTTGCTGCGAGCCCTTTAGGATTGGAAGCGGGCCTTGGACAGCCATCAACATGTTGGTGCGATTCTGATGGACCTGTCCAAGCTTTTCGACTGCATTTCTCATAATCTCCTGCTCGGGAAGCTGCGTGCTTATGGTCTGGATAAGTCAGCTGTTGACTTCATCAGCAGCTACCTGAGTGGCAGTCAGCAGCAGGTCAGACTGGGGCCTGTGGCCAGTGACTGGACCGATATAAAGAAGGGTGTACCCCAAGGGTCTACAGTTGGACCTCTTATATTTAATATTTTTATCAATGATATTTTTACGTTTGTAGACTCATGCAGTTTGTATAATTACGCTGATGATAATACGCTCTCCAAGATATGTGATAGTTTTGTAGATATGAAAGATTGTTAAGAAAAAGAGAGCAAATTCTTATTGATTAGTTTAACTCTAATGGAATGAAAGCTAATCCAGAGAAATTTCAAGCGATTTGTTTTGGTAAGAAGACCAGCAACTCTGTAAATTCTTTTGATATTGAAGGTTTGGATATGTCATGTCAAGAAAGTGTAAAATTATTAGGTATTGATATTGACTTAATTCTTAAATTTGATAAACTCATGTTTTTAGCCTTTGCAGAAATGCTTCTAAAAAACTTGCTGTTTTAAAAAGACTGGGAAATAATTTTAACAAAAACAAATACAATTTTTAAGTATTTTATATTGTCAAATTTTAATTATTGTCCTCTTGCCTGGCATTTCTACAAATACTAGGAAAATGGAGAAAGTGCAGGAGCGTGCTCTTCGTTTTATTGAAAATGATATTTTAAGAAAATTAAAATTTGATTTTTTACATGTGAAACGTATTACGTATATGGCCTCAGAGTTTTAAAGATTTTGAATAACATGTCCCCATCCATTTTACAAGGCCTTAGTGAGAGTAAAGAAGTATTTTATAATCTTAGGCAGGATAATCTGGTACGGATTCCAAAGGTGAACACCTCCACGTATGGAAAAGATCTTTCCGGTTTACAGCTTCTCAGGTTTGGAACAGCTCACCGAATCAGCTAAGATTAGCCGAGAATTACGACTCTTTTCGGAAGGCTGCTCCTGGGATGTTGAGGTCTGTTCCTGTTCTGTCTGTATACAGATACAGTCCTTCACCACCACTTGTTCATTTAAATAACAGTGCACTTGTTAATTTGTTAAAATATCCAGTCATTTGTTTAATTTAATCTTCATTTTCTTTCAAATTTTAGGGTCTGCCAGACTAGCTTGTCTTGTTTCTTTTAATACACACGATATTAGTGTATATTATGTCAATTTTTATGTTTTGCTACGTTAGCATATATGTAAACTACACTTTGATAGTGTCTTAACTTCAGCATTTAGTGATCCTGTGTGAGATACAAGAATCCATTTTTAAACTGTCTTAAATTATTATATCTAGGTCTAAACTAACTGTGATATGTTGATATTGATCTTGTTATGTACATAGTATTTATATAACTGCACTGTGATGTTGTTAATCTTATACCTATGTTTGTCGCAAGAATAGCACTACAGTGCTAATGTTTGTCCTGTTTGTAATATGCGACTTTAAATAAGACTTCTTGACTCTTGACTCTTCATTGTTTTCAAAAGCACATCTATGTCCTTTAATTTTGACATTCAGGTCCCCAAATATGACAACCCTTCCCTTTTTAGCGTAAACTGCGACCAGTGACTCCAGTATTTCCGTGTGTTCAATGAAAATATCGGTCGGTCTGGAGGAGGCGGGCGTGTAAACTGAAACACACTATAAGCATTCTTTATTTGGAGTTTGAAACTCAACACCCACTATCATTGGGCTATCTATTTCTATTTGTTAAGAAAGATCAAGAAATGGATTTCGCAATGATTTATATATAAAGAGAAAAATAGAGGAGGTGATATTTTCCTTTAAGATAATCCATTATGACAAGCGAAGAAATCAGACAAGTTATTATCATGCTTTACACAACATTTTACATTATAATATAAAGAACGTATTTTATTTAGCATCTTACCCATAATGCCTTCCTTTATAAGTTTGTACCATAAATTATATTTCTTGATGAAGTCAAATGCCAAATTGTATCCAACAAGTCAGCAATTTAATTTCTTTCTCTTTTTGTGTATAGCACAAATACAACATCTATGGTTGACAGTTGCTTCCTAAATCCAAACTGAGCATCTGTTATTTTAGCGTAAAACGAGTCAAAATTATATTTCCTTCAGATCATGACATAGGTTAAAAGCGGGGATTAAAAAACCGCATTAAAAAACAACAGCGCTTAATCACTATATATTTTTGAATGAGTTTGTGACCTGAGAGCGTGTTGATTCAACCTTCAGCGTAGATAGAGTGAATTTAGGTCAATAACCTCTACCTATACACATAGACATTACACAGGTGAGACACTTTAACAGACAAAACAAACTTCAGGTCAAATATAGGCCCTTGATGTTGAAAAGTTGAAAGACTTCACAATGGCGGACAACCTAAAGAAGCTGACTCTGAAGGAATTTAACATTTCAGAAAGGACCGGGTTTGCATTCGAAGATTCTTTGGTAAGTGTATTACAGAAGTAGGCTGTATGGGCACATAAGACAACCCAATACAGCTAGGTACTTATGTTAGAATGTTGGGTGTAATAATGTAAACACAACCAATAGGGTATATTCGAGATGTAGGAGAGATATACCGTAGATAATAACACATTTTGTTTCGTAGCTGTCTGTGGTGTAGCGACAGTTAAGATGCTGATGAGTTGAATGTGAATAAAACACACTCCAGGTGTTGTGAAAAGGAACACACTTATAGTAATACAAATGAATTACCCAGCATAGTTATCCAGAGATAACTATGAGTTCAGTACCACGAAACAGTAAGATGATATCGGTATGAAAGTCACAAAGAAAAATCTCCTAGGGAGGTTTGTAAGCTGTTTCGAAGAACCTCTCTAGTTTGGCGGAAGAATTCGCAATGTCCTTTACATTCTGAACACAATCAATTTTGAAGTGAGCACATGATAATATTGTTAATTTTCAGTGATAATCTTGAAATTTTTGATAACCAGTTCCAGACGATTGTGTGATTAATCATAAGGACGAGTGTTTATACTTTATTTTGTAAAAGCTATGTGATGATAATTAAATTTTCACAAGAAATCAAATGATGTAATTATTTCTCGTTGAACGGTTTGTCAGCACCTGATCATTATTGCTAACGTGTTATAGTGATAATTATGTAGTGATATTAGACAATAAGAGAAAGAGAAGGTACTTTATGTCAGTGCATCTCTATATCTCATCCAGCGATCTTAGTTCCGATTTTTGTGGCTTGTGGTTGCTGTAAAAGACATACTTTTATATTTGTGTATCTCCAACTCTCAAAAGATGTTCCATTATTTTGTTTTCGTTTCCATTTTCACTTGGTTTTTTTTATCTGTATAGATGTACAGATTGTCTGAAAGGTCAATAATTGTGTCACGTTTAGACATCTTTGATTGCGTCATTTGTTCAATAAAATAATAAAGCTTATCATATTTTTTTTCTTAAAAAGGAAATGCTACCTGAATATTTCAAGCCTTGGAATGACCTTGCCAGTTGTATTGTCGAATTGATTGAAAATAAAACCGCCCGGAAACACATAGACCAGGTAATCTAAATATTGTTCGTCTAGTCATCGGACTGCCCGGAAACACATAGACCAGGTAATCTAAATATTGTTCGTCTAGTCATCGGACTGCCCGGAAACACATAGACCAGGTAATCTAAATATTGTTCGTCTAGTCATCGGACTGCCCGGAAACACATAGACCAGGTAATCTAAATATTGTTCGTCTAGTCATCGGACTGCCAGGAAACACATAGACCAGGTAATCTAAATATTGTTCGTCTAGTCATCGGACTGCCCGGAAACACATAGACCAGGTAATCCAAATATTGTTCGTCTAGTCATCGGACTGCCCGGAAACACATAGACCAGGTAATCTAAATATTGTTCGTCTAGTCATCGGACTGCCCGGAAACACATAGACCAGGTAATCTGAATATTGTTCGTCTAGTCATCGGACTGCCCGGAAACACATAGACCAGGTAATCTAAATATTGTTCGTCTAGTCATCGGACTGCCCGGAAACACATAGACCAGGTAATCCAAATATTGTTCGTCTAGTCATCGGACTGCCCGGAAACACATAGACCAGGTAATCTAAATATTGTTCGTCTAGTCATCGGACTGCCCGGAAACACATAGACCAGGTAATCTAAATATTGTTCGTCTAGTCATCGGACTGCCCGGAAACACATAGACCAGGTAATCTAAATATTGTTCGTCTAGTCATCGGACTGCCCGGAAATACATAGACCAGGTATGCCAAATATTGTTCGTCTAGTCATCGGACTGCCCGGAAATACATAGACCAGGTAACCCAAATAAATTTCATCTAGTCATCGAACTGCTCGGAAACACTTAGATCATGTTTTTCAAATAATATTCATCAAGTCGATCAGATAATCAAATCTTAAGTTTCTTATCTTATATCCTTAAGAGATATATCGTTCGAAAATTTATGGAATAAAACTTTTGTCGTGATTACTATTTGTTGAAAAATTATACTTTAGAGAGTAAATATCAATAATGTTGTCCTGGCTTCTTTATTAAAAACAAAACTTTTCTTTCATTACGAGAAAATAGAATGATTCTTAAATAAGAAAGCATAATGTGAAAACTTTTCATTTCATTTTACAAGTTTAAAGCTGCAACTAAATATGAAGATTTGAGAAATGGCTTAAATCATTTCATCCAAATTAATTTTACAGAGGTCAAGAAACAAGCTGAATTACTTGCTTTTTTCATCCCAAACTCAATTAATTTGATGCAGCAAGTCAAAATTCGATTATTTGAAATCTGTTTTATGGTGATATATTTGTGTAAACTATAATTGAGTTTTACTGAAGACATACAAAGTTACAATCAAGGGAATTGTACTATAATGTACCAACGAAAGAAACATTGAAAGTGTTGAAACATCTACATTGTCAAAATGTAATCCGGTAACGAAATTTCTACAGAACGTCGTAGAAAGTGTTTTTGCTTTCTTTGATAAAGTACAATTATATATAACAAAGTGTATAAGAAAACCCCAAAAAAAGTCTGATATAGCACATTGGGATTCATTTTTATTTGAGTTACGCCTACATCAGGTTTACCATGACTTTCAAACATCTTGAGATATCGCGTTTTGCTAATCTGAACACAAGTTTTATATTTCATACTTATGCAATAAGCTGTTTTTTCTATTCTGGATCCTCTTAACTTATCAACTTATTCATAGGATAATCATGAATGTAGGTTAAATCCTCGTGCAGTATACTATTTCAGTTTTGTATGCCAGTTGTTGCCACGCCTGAATTAAAATGTACAGTTTTTTTCTCAACAATTTCAGTTAGTATTATTAGACCACAGAAAGTTGTCTGGACGAGCTGAACTGTTTTTGGCCCACTTACAGCTATCTCGGTTTGTAACCGGATATGTTTGGGAAAACGGAGTGGATGATCGGGCTAAGGTAAACAGGTTGACACTATTACTATTTTTAGCAATGACTTTGAAAAATGTTTAATTTCAATGCACCATAAATACAATGTTCCATCCAAACACGTTTTAATGATCATAATGTTCAGCTTTAATACTCGTTGACAAAACGTTATTTAATTATAACTATATGCCGACTCGTTTGCCAGCTGAATTTGTCCTGTTGAATACGGGGAAATATTGGCCCATGTTTTGCTGTAATTCTCGAAATAAATAAATAGTAACAATTTCAGTGTAACGGTCATCCATTTATTTTATTTTCACTAGATTTGAAATTGACGAAGGTTGTACTTGCGTTTTATGGTCACCCGATGCAATCTTCGGTCGATCACATTCACATTTGTATCATATCAGGAATGACACCATTGATCTTTGATTTTAGAAAATACCGAGATGCATAGCTGTACCATTTTATGGGGTGTCTGAAATGTTGTCTATGCCTCCAGTCATAACATACTGTGACGTTGTATTGGCGAACTGGAAACGAATTAACCCGGAGGGGTGAGTTATCTTTGTATTATGAACCCGGGGTGTGAGCTATCTTTGTATAATTAATCCGGAGGGGTGAGTTATCTTTGTATTATTAACCAGGAGGGGTGAGTTATCTTTGTATCATTAACTTGGGGTGTGAGTTATCTTTGTATTATTAACCCGGAGGGGTGAGTTACTTTTGTATTATTAACCCGGAGGGTGAGTTATCTTTGTATAATTAACCAGGAGGGGTGAGTTATCTTTGTATTGTTAACCCGGAGGGGTGACTTATCTTTGTATTATTAACCCGGAGGGGTGAGTTATCTTTGTATTATAAACCAGGAGGGGTGAGTTACCTTTTTATTGTTAACCCGGAGGGGTGAGTTATCTTTGTATTATTAACCCGGAGGGGTGAGTTACTTTTGTATTATTAACCCGGAGGGTGAGTTATCTTTGTATAATTAACCAGGAGGGTAGAGTTATCTTTGTATTGTTAACCCGGAGGGGTGACTTATCTTTGTATTATTAACCCGGAGGGGTGAGTTATCTTTGTATTATAAACCAGGAGGGGTGAGTTACCTTTTTATTACTAACCCGGAGGGTGAGTTATCATTGTATTATTAACCCGGAGGGGTGAGTTATCTTTGTATTATTAACCCGGAGGGGTAAGCTATCTTTGTATTATTAACCTGGAGGGGTGAGTTACCTTTGTATTACTAACCCGGAGAGTGAGTTCTCTTTGTATTATTAACCCGGAGGGGTGATTTACCTTTGTATTGTTTACCCGGAGGGGTGAGTTATCTTTGTATTATTAACCCGGAGGGGTGAGATATCTTTGTATAATTGACCCGGAGGGATGAGCTATATTTGTACAATTGACCCGGAGGGGTGAGCTATATTTGTATAATTGACCCGGAAGGGTGAGTTATATTTGTATAATTGACCCGGAGGGGTGAGCTATATTTGTATAATTGACCCGCAGGGGTGAGCCATATTTGTATAATTGACCCGGAGGGGTGAGTTATCTTTGTATAGTTGACCCGGAGGGATGAGGTATATTTGTATAATTGACCCGGAGAGGTGAGTTACCTTTGTATAATTGACCCGGAAGGGTGAGCTATATTTGTATAATTGACCCGGAGGGGTGAGCTATATTTGTATAATTGACCCGCAGGGGTGAGCCATATTTGTATAATTGACCCGGAGGGGTGAGTTATCTTTGTATAGTTGACCCGGAGGGATGAGGTATATTTGTATAATTGACCCGGAGAGGTGAGTTACCTTTGTATAATTGACCCGGAGGGGTGAGTTATATTTGTATCATTAACCCGGAGGGGTGAGCTATATTTGTATAATTAACCCGGAGGGGTGAGTTACCTTTGTATAATTGACCCGGAAGGGTGAGCTATATTTGTATAATTGACCCGGAGGGGTGAGCTATATTTGTATAATTGACCCGGAGGGGTGAGCTATATTTGTATAATTGACCCGGAGGGGTGAGCTATATTTGGATAATTGACCCGGAGGGGTGAGCTATATTTGTGTAATTGACCCGGAAAGGTGAGTTTCCTTTGTATTACTGATGCTATAGTCAATTTCAATTACTAACAAATTGATAGACATATAAATATATGTAGGACCAAGGGGTAGAGCGTCAAGCAGAGTCTATTTAAGTCTTATCCCATACACAATATCAGTATGTAGCAAGATAAAGATAAACATGCAATATAATCATTAGACGATAATAATGATGCAATATAATACAAGGGAAACAACTCTAATCGATCTGTATTTTATGTCGTTTATAATTACTTCAGGGCAAAAGAACTTATTGGGCTACAAATAGTTTAATTTTTCTTCGATACATGAAAAATGTCCTATGTCTATTATTTTTCACTAGGTTATATATTTGTAAATATTTGTTGAGACGGATTTTTCACCTCACCTTGATTTCCTCGATAAATCTGATTCTCGAAACCCACAAGTGATACGATCCATGTCAATGTTTATTTGTTTATTTAATGTGTGTACAGCGTCATGGGTAAAGAGTAATCACGAACTCAGAGTTTTGTTCATATTTCACAATAAATAAAATGAATATAATTGAAATGCTAAATCATACAAATGTATTTTTATTTTTATGTTAATTAATCTTGATCTATATATTATGATTTTTGTCTTTTTTTCTGACAATTTTTAGGGCACCGACTTTTGCGTAAGTATATAATTTATTCATCTATCTATAAGTCTTTTAACTATAACATGCTACATGAAAGATGACATTGTAACACAATTTACGAATTAAAGACAATGTTCGACTTTCATGTCATGTAGGAATATAACAGTAAAGTATTTCACTACCACGGGAACCATTATGGTCAGGTTGTAGGAACGTAACCACAATTTTCACCTCTCGATACAGGACGTTACATAAAAATCATGTGTTCCCATTACTACCTAGGTAACCATTATGAAACGTTATAGGAACATCAGTATGATGACATCACTACCTAGGTATCCATTATGATACGTTATAGGAACATCAGTGTAGTGACATCACTACCTAGGTATCCATTATGATACGTTATAGGGACATCAGTATGATGACATCACTACCTAGGTATCCATTATGATACGTTATAGGAACATCAGTGTAGTGACATCACTACCTAGGTATCCATTATGATACGTTATAGGGACATCAGTGTAGTGACATCACTACCTAGGTATCCATTATGATACGTTATAGGGACATCAGTATGATGACATCACTACCTAGGTATCCATTATGATACGTTATAGGAACATCAGTGTAGTGACATCACTACCTAGGTATCCATTATGGTACGTTATAGGAACATCAGTATGATGACATCACTACCTAGGTATCCATTATGATACGTTATAGGGACATCAGTGTAGTGACATCACTACCTAGGTATCCATTATGATACGTCATAGGAACATCAGTGTAGTGACATCACTACCTAGGTATCCATTATGATACGTTATAGGAACATCAGTGTAGTGACATCACTACCTAGGTATCCATTATGATACGTTATAGGAACATCAGTGTAGTGACATCACTACCTAGGTATCCATTATGATACGTTATAGGAACATCAGTGTAGTGACATCACTACCTAGGTATCCATTATGATACGTTATAGGAACATCAGTGTAGTGACATCACTACCTAGGTATCCATTATGATACGTTATAGGAACATCAGTGTAGTGACATCACTACCTAGGTATCCATTATGATACGTTATAGGAACATCAGTGTAGTGACATCACTACCTAGGTATCCATTATGATACGTTATAGGGACATCAGTATGATGACATCACTACCTAGGTATCCATTATGATACGTTATAGGAACATCAGTGTAGTGACATCACTACCTAGGTATCCATTATGATACGTCATAGGAACATCAGTGTAGTGACATCACTACCTAGGTATCCATTATGATACGTTATAGGGACATCAGTGTAGTGACATCACTACCTAGGTATCCATTATGATACGTTATAGGAACATCAGTATGATGACATCACTACCGTTATACCATATATAGGAACATCTGTGACATCACTACCTAGGTATCCATTATGATACGTTATAGGCTTAATGGTATGTTGTAGGAACATCAGGTCGATTATCAAAATGCCAGGGGGACAAGATGGTGAAAATTTCATACGACATAGTACCACGATAGAACTGGCTTTTACACCAGCTATTCAGGTAAAGTGGATTTGAAAATTTGTTTTAGCGAATAGCTGTTTCATACTCCCTGGTCTTCATTAATGATGTTTCCGACATACATGTAAAGTAATGTAAAATGTATCACAAGTGACCAACACGAAATATTTATGTGGAAAGTGGCATCAGTGTGTAGTCCTAACAACTACTGTAAAGACCTACTCTTGTATCAGTGTGTAATCCTACTTCTGTATCAGTGTGTAATCCTACTCCTGTATCAGTGTGTAGTACTACTCCTGTATCAGTGTGTAATCCTACTCCTGTATCAGTGTGTAATCCTACTCCTGTATCAGTGTGTAATCCTACTCCTGTATCAGTGTGTAGTACTACTCCTGTATCAGTGTGTAATCCTACTCCTGTATCAGTGTGTAGTACTACTCCTGTATCAGTGTATAGACCTACTCCTGCATCAGTGTGTAGACCTACTCCTGTATCAGTGTGTAACCCTACTCTTTTATCAGTGTGTAATCCTACACCTGTATCATTGTGTAATCCTACTCCTGTATCAGTGTGTTATCCTACTCCTGTATCAGTGTGTAATCCTACTCCTGTATCAGTGTGTTATCCTACTCCTGTATCAGTGTGTAATCCTACTCCTGTATCAGTGTGTTATCCTACTCCTGTATCAGTGTGTAGACCTACTCCTGTATCAGTGTGTAATCCTACTCCTGTATCAGTGTGTAGTACTACTCCTGTATCAGTGTATAGACCTACTCCTGCATCAGTGTGTAGACCTACTCCTGTATCAGTGTGTAACCCTACTCCTGTATCAGTGTGTAATCCTACATCTGTATCATTGTGTAGACCTACTCCTGTATCAGTGTGTAATCCTACTCCTTTATCAGTGTGTTATCCTACTCCTGTATCAGTGTGTTATCCTACTCCTGTATCAGTGTGTAATCCTACTCCTGTATCAGTGTGTAATCTTACCCATGTATCAGTGTGTAATCATACTCCTGTATCAGTGTGTAATCCTACTCCTGTATCAGTGTGTAGTACTACTCCTGTATCAGTGTATAGACTTACTCCTGTATCAGTGTGTAATCATACTCCTGTATCAGTGTGTAATCCTACTCCTGTATCAGTGTGTAGTACTACTCCTGTATCAGTGTATAGACTTACTCCTGCATCAGTGTGTTATCCTACTCCTGTATCAGTGTGTAATCCTACTCCTGTATCAGTGTGTAATCCTACTCCTGTATCAGTGTGTAATCCTACTCCTGTATCAGTGTGTAATCCTACTCCTGTATCAGTGTGTAATCCTACTCCTGTATCAGTGTGTAATCCTACTCCTGTATCAGTGTGTAATCCTACCCATGCATCAGTGTGTAATCCTACCCCTGTATCAGTGTGTAATCCTACTCCTGTATCAGTGTGTAATCCTACTCCTGTATCAGTGTGTAATCCTACTCCTGTATCAGTGTGTAATCCTACCCATGTATTAGTGTGTAATCCTACTCCTGTATCAGTGTGTAATCCTACTCCTGTATCAGTGTGTAATCCTACTCCTGTATCAGTGTGTAATCCTACTCCTGTATCAGTGTGTAATCCTACTCCAGTATCACTGTGTAATACTACTCCTGTATCAGTGTGTAATCCTACCCATGTATTAGTGTGTAATCCTACTCCTGTATCAGTGTGTAACCCTACTCCTGCATCAATGTGTAATCCTACTCCTGTATCAGTGTGTTATCCTACTCCTGTATCAGTCTGTGATCCTACTCCTGTATCAGTGTGTAATCCTACTCCTGTATCAGTGTGTAATCCTACTCCTGTATCAGTGTGTTATCCTACTCCTGTATCACTGTGTAATACTACTCCTGTATCAGTGTGTAATCCTACCCATGTATCAGTGTGTTATCCTACTCCTGTATCAATGTGTAATCCTACTCCTGTATCAATGTGTAATCCTACTCCTGTATCAGTGTGTAATCCTACTCCAGTATCAGTGTGTAATCCTACTCTTGTATCAGTGTGTAATCCTACTCCTGTATCACTGTGTAATATTACTCCTGTATCCGTGTGTAATCCTACTCCTGTATCAGTGTGTAATCCTACTCCTGTATCAGTGTGTAATACTACTCCTGTATCAGTGTGTAATCCTACTCCTGTATCAGTGTGTTATCCTACTCCTGTATCAGTGTGTTATTCTACTCCTGTATCAGTGTGTAATCCTACCGATGTATCAGTGTGTAATCCTACCCCTGTATCAGTGTGTAGACCTACTCCTGTATCATTGTGTAATCCTACCCCTGTATCAGTGTGTAATCCTACACCTGTATCACTTTGTAATCCTATCCCTGTATCAGTGTGTAATCCTATCCCTGTATCAGTGTGTAATCCTACACCTGTATCACTTTGTAATCCTATCCCTGTATCAGTGTGTAATCCTATCCCTGTATCAGTGTGTAATCCTACCCCTGTATCAGTGTGTAGACCTACTCCTGTATCATTGTGTAATCCTATCCCTGTATCAGTGTGTAATCCTACACCTGTATCACTTTGTAATCCTACACCTGTATCACTGTTTAGACCTAATCCTGTACTATTTTATTTGTGCGTAGTTTTTTTTTTTTTATTAAATCTTTTCTACTCGACTTGTTTTAGTCGTTCCCTCGCCATGTTTGTTTGCAATTGTCATCTAAATTAATGCATGTAACCATGTCCTTTGTTCTGTATCCTTTATCCTATGTTGTACGTATCTGATTTCTTAATACCGCTCACTTTCTCATTTTAAGAAAATATTTCGTTCCTACATGTACATTACTGTTTAAGGTTTTTGTCTGTATGGCTTTAGCAAAGGAGGGTGAATATGAATGGATTAGCAAAGGAGGATGAATATGTATGGATTAGCAAAGGAGGGTGAATATGTATGGATTAGCAAAGGAGGGTGAATATGTATGTATTAGCAAAGGAGGATGAATATGTATGGATTTAGCAAAGGAGGGTGAATATGTATGGATTAGCAAAGGAGGGTGAATATGTATGGATTTAGAAAAGGATGATGAATATGTATGAATTTAGCAAGGGAGGGTGAATATGTATGGACAATTGCCTTTGCTGCCCTCCATGCAAGGTGACTTTCGAACTGATTCTTATCCCAGTCATTGAGTGATATTATTACCCCTAAAACTGTTAGTGTTTAGTATTTATTACTAAACTTATTCGTTATTCGACTGATGTGTACATCTGTTTATAATAGCGAGCAGAGGATCATTATAGGCTATGCCTGTTGCCCAATTCCTTTTGTCAGTAAATTCATTACAATATAATATTCTGAAATGAAACAAAAAAACTTTCTCGGTTGTATTCGAAGGTAAATTTCTTATCCAACGAATATCTTATTTGTCACTCATTTGATACATTTCATTGACTTTGTTGCAGCGAATACTAGATGCGGTGTATGCTGCAGAGGCGTCAGACTCCCCAGCGCTTACAAACTGTCTGTTGGATGTTGCTGCTGTGCTGAGGAAAATGACCGCCATGTTCTCCGATTATCACGGTAAACAATAAAGGACCAAATTTTAAACAACAGAAAAAACGTATATGATAGTCAGTGATAGGAATACATCCCAGAAGGCTCCTGATATCAGTATGACGTGGAAATGACATTGGATTGACGTGGTGTAAATCTTGATTATAAGTTTGTTAGGTGTCATTTGCTGGCGTTACACTATCAGCTGGACATCAGTTTGTTTATGTAAACCACATGTCGTTACTACAAAGTATACTTGTGACAAATAATGGACACAATATTAAAACGGTTTTTTTCGTCAATATTGACATGATTATGACTACACGGGGGACCACGATATGAGTCTTAGTTTCAACAAGAAACCAATATTTTAACGTTTTATATCAACTTTCACATCTCTAATCTCTAGTATAATCGCTGTCAGCATGCCCCTTACAACAAACAAGAATAACTAGTTCTTTGTGCTGTTTACCACGGTTGTATCTACCTTATATCGTGTAACATCACATTGTGATATGTAATCATTTATCTCACCTGTACATACCTTATATCATGTAATATCACATTGTGATATGTAATCATTTATCTCACCTGTATCTACCTTATATCGTGTAATATCACATTGTGATATGTTATCATTTATCTCACCTGTATCTACCTTATATCATGTAATATCACATTGTGATATGTAATCATTTATCTCACCTGTATCTACCTTATATCGTGTAATATCACATTGTGATGTGATCATTTATCTCACCTGTACATACCTTATATCATGTAATATCACATTGTGATATGTAATCATTTATCTCACCTGTATCTACCTTATATCGTGTAATATCACATTGTGATATGTTATCATTTATCTCACCTGTATCTACCTTATATCGTGTAATATCACATTGTGATGTGATCATTTATCTCACCTGTATCTACCTTATATCATGTAATATCACATTGTGATATGTTATCATTTATCTCACCTGTATCTACCTTATATCGTGTAATATCACATTGTGATATAATATCATTTATCTCACCTGTATCTACCTTATATTGTAATATCACATTGTGATATAATATCATTTATTTCACCTGTATCTACCTTATATCGTGTAATATCACATTGTGATGTGATCATTTATCTCACCTGTATCTACCTTATATCGTGTAATATCACATTGTGATATGTAATCATTTATCTCACCTGTATCTACCTTATATCGTGTAATATCACATTGTGATATGTTATCATTTATCTCACCTGTATCTACCCGTGTATATCATGTAATAACCTGTATCTACCTTATATCATGTAATATCACATTGTGATATGTTATCATTTATCTCACCTGTATCTACCTTATATCGTGTAATATCACATTGTGATATAATATCATTTATTTCACCTGTATCTACCTTATATCGTGTAATATCACATTGTGATATAATATCATTTATTTCACCTGTATCTACCTTATATCGTGTAATATCACATTGTGATGTGATCATTTATCTCACCTGTATCTACCTTATATCGTGTAATATCACATTGTGATATGTAATCATTTATCTCACCTGTATCTACCTTATATCGTGTAATATCACATTGTGATGTGATCATTTATCTCACCTGTATCTACCTTATATCGTGTAATATCACATTGTGATATAATATCATTTATCTCACCTGTATCTACCTTATATCGTGTAATATCACATTGTGATATAATATCATTTATTTCACCTGTATCTACCTTATATCGTGTAATATCACATTGTGATGTGATCATTTATCTCACCTGTATCTACCTTATATCATGTAATATCACGTTGTGATATGTCATCATTTATCTCACCTGCATCTACCTTATATCGGGTAATATCACATTGTAATATAATATCATTTATCTCACCTGTATCTACCTTATATCGTGTAATATCACATTGTGATATAATATCATTTATTTCACCTGTATCTACCTTATATCGTGTAATATCACATTGTGATATGTAATCATTTATCTCACCTGTATCTACCTTATATCGTATTGTATGACATCGGATTGTGATATTGTATTATGTATCTTTATAACATATCATTTCCCTTTTGTTCGGAAAATTGTTTGTTTCTCTCAACAGATCTCGTTAATCCTGAGAATTTATACAAGGTGTTTTTGCGGTATACCGGCGGGTAGGTGTACATAATGTTTTATATTCATGTGACTATAAAGCATTACTGTGATATAGTAAAGCCAGGTAATCAAGATAGTCACTGTAATGTAGTTTATTCTTGTCGCGAATGATTGTCAGATTCTTGCTTATGAACATGAAATGTTAGCCACATTTTTAGACATGTACAGGTCGGCATTCAGGCTATGCTAATTCACGACCGTTCGATAATTAAAATCTGTAACAGAAAAAGAAAGTATGTATTTACTAGTCTACTAACAATCGTTTGTAATACTGCCATCATTAATCAATGTTAAGTGATATCTATCCATTTAACCTTAGCGTCAAGCACATATTTGTTACCAGAACAAGATCGTTTCATTGCTGCCAATCATGTATACGTATTGAAAACCTCAAAAGAAACTGACGGTTATTAATAAAACGCAGATATGTTACTAAACAATGTTGTAGGTATGGGCAAGGTCAACCATTACCAGAAGGTCTCTTGTTTGAAGGTGTCAATGACGAACCAGTAGCAGTAAGTAGTTTATAGCCATATACAATGTAGCAGTAAGTAGTTTATAGACATATACAATGTAGCAATAAGTAGTTTATAGACATATACACAATGTAGCAGTAAGTAGTTCATAGACATAAACAATGTAGCAGTAAGTAGTTTATAGACATATACACAATGTAGCAGTAAGTAGTTCATAGACATAAACAATGTAGCAGTAAGTAGTTTATAGACATATACACAATGTAGCAGTAAGTAGTTCATAGACATATACACAATGTAGCAGTAAGTAGTTCATAGACATAAACAATGTAGCAGTAAGTAGTTTATAGACATATACACAATGTAGCAGTAAGTAGTTCATAGACATATACACAATGTAGCAGTAAGTAGTTCATAGACATAAACAATGTAGCAGTAAGTAGTTTATAGACATACACAATGTAGCAGTAAGTAGTTTATAGACATACACAATGTAGCAGTAAGTAGTTTATAGACATATATACAATGTAGCAGTAAGTAGTTTATAGACATACACAATGTAGCAGTAAGTAGTTTATAGACATATATACGATGTAGCAGGAAGTAGTTTATACACAATGTAGCAGTAAGTAGTTTATAGACATAAACAATGTAGCAGTAAGTAGTTTATAGACATATACAATGTAGCAGTAAGTAGTTTATAGACATATACAATGTAGCAGTAAGTAGTTTATAGACATATACACAATGTAGCAGTAAGTAGTTTATAGACATATACAATGTAGCAGTAAGTAGTTTATAGACATATACAATGTAGCAGTAAGTAGTTTATAGACATAAACAATGTAGCAGTATGTAGTTTATAGACATAAACAACGTAGAAGTAAGTAGTTTATAGACATAAACAATGTAGCAGTAAGTAGTTTATAGACATATATAATCATAACACCGTATAACTCATCGGCTACAACCCGAGATACACATGAAAAATATCGAAATATAATGTCAATAGTTGGATTCGAACACTTGATCCCAGCTCACTCGACTCCTAGATGAAGCTCGTAATTGATGACAGGATCGAGTCTTATATGATGATATATAAGAAAAAAATCATACTTTTGCATTTACAGGCCCCTTCAGCCACTGCTGGCCAGTCATCCTCCATTAAGCTTGTAGACGCTGCCTTGTCTGTACAGCATAGCCAGGGTAAATTTCTCACTAAGTGCACGGCATTGTCTCAGTGGTTTTCTCAGTATCGAAATGCATGATTTGTTTCCCCTCATTTTAATATCATGGTGAGAACAACACAGTTAGTCTATTTCAAGATTTGAAGAAAGTCCATACATGATCTATCGATATCATCGTATTTGAACGTAATGCACGTTCACATAGGCTTATTATAGAATTATCCCCATGTTTTCCAGTAGTTGTTTTCGTCTTCATGGTGATCATGGAAATATTCAGATGTAACACCCAAATGTCAGGAAAGAACAGAAAACAAGGTCAAAGCGATTTTTCGCTTTTATCGTCTTAAACTAGTGAAGAGAAAAATACATCTAGACATCTTGGAAATGCATGTAGCTGCCAAGATGTCCGATTTGAAAATACTTAATATTTCTTTAAGAGATGCTGATACAGGGATTCGTTATAACTAGTAGGACATATTGATATACGGGGAATTCTTCTCTCAAACTGAACAGGATTCAAGAAGTGACTGGAACTCATTATGTACTGTATAGCTATATACACGTAATAAACTTTAGAGACCCAAGATCAACTCCCTCTCGCCTCTATAATATACAATAGAAATATCATTCCAGTTTGATTCCGTCGACTATTTGCTATGCCATCAGAGACGAAAATATCACCGTTTTATACACAGTTTAATCATTAACATATCTAAGTTTTTGTTATCGTTGACTCGTTGTTATTAACTTTTTATGGTTTAAGAGAGTGTTATTAATTACGTCATTAAACAAGATTTTCTCGGAGAGTTTTCTTCACGAAGCAAAAGACGCTAATTCTTCAGTAACACCTGGTCCAATTCTCTTTTACAGTGCTCTCCATGTTTATCTTTCCTTCGTTTACATGTCGAGACAGCGTTGTATCGGTATGTCTTTATTGTTTTCGTCAGATATATCAACAGCCTTCAAAACCCACAGAATGCACATGCCACTAACACACAGGAATTTCGTTGATGTTGTAGAACAACGGTCACAAATACGTAATTATGGTGAGTTGCACAGATTTATATATAGAGATATTTTTCATGAGTATGACAATAGATATTTGTATTTTATCATACGAATGAAATGGATGTGATATTCTACTACTTGTAAAACTATTCTTTTTTTCAAATAATACAAGGACCGTTAAGATGATAAGAAAGATGTGCGTTTGCAAAAAGGTCAGAAACCGGCATCTCCAGAGGTTATAAGCATGGATTTAACAGAAAAATCAACCTATTGTTATGCTGTGAAAAGAAGAAAGCATGATATAATTGGTAAAAGTTCATGAAGTTATATCAAACTGATAAAAACGTTTTTTTTTCAAATCAACATCTACTTGTGTGTATCAGACTAAAAAGTAATTTGTATTGTATTGTCATATCTAAATATAACTTCTTGTCAATGCAAACTTCAACATTATAGTCGTTGATATCCTTGATAGTCATGTGATCAGCAGAAATACAAAATATTACACTTATTCATCAAGACGAACAGTGATTGTTTAACTTTTGTTCTTTGACTCTACAGTCACTAAAAGCCAGGACAATGCCCTGACATCAGCCTTCGAAAGCTGTCTGCGAAATCTGACCGACTTTAGGAGTGCCCACATCAAGATTGTTGCAAAGTAAGTTTCTTTCACAATATTGATTACTCCGTATTGAAAATGTATTACATCTTTCATATACCAGTGTTTTCTAAGTAAACAGACACGTAGTTTGGGGAGATTTCCTAACAGAATACAAGCTTACTCTTCGGACTTTGTAGCGCCATAGAGGATGTATTGGACCCAGTTTAATTTTGAAGCACGAACTTGAAGAATCCAGAACTGTGATACATTCATGTTCATGCGGAAAAAAGTATTATTCAAAATAAATGTAGCAACATTATTATACATGTCTTGAATCATATACCGTAAGAATCTTTATTTGTCTTCATTTCGTATTTAATATTTACAGCTTTCTTTATTTATCTTCATTTCCTATTAAACATTTACATTTTTACTAAAAGTTGGAAGACTTTATATTCCAAGAATCACAAAAAAAATTATAATAACATAGAAGAGCATGTTACGCTCTTTATTTCCAATGATTCCAGAAATGACAGGAAAAAGGGAAATAGTTGATGTACTGTGTAGTGACGGTTAAATCTTACGTGTTTGTGTTACAGGTATGTAGTGACGGTTAAATCTTACGTGTTTGTACTACAGGTATGTAGTGACGGTTAAATCTAAAGTGTTTGTATTACAGGTATGTAGTGACGGTTAAATATTACGTGTTTGTACTACAGGTATGTAGTGACGGTTAAATATTACGTGTTTGTATTACAGGTATGTAGTGGCGGTTGGAACAGGAGACCCTGGTATAGACAGTGAGTTCAATTAAGACAATTGAAAAAAAAATCAGATTTCATTTTTTATTTTCATTCCAATTTGTTATTATTTCAATAATCACATACGTCTACCAACACTTTTGATATTAAAGTAATACTTTTATCACATGATGTACCAGTTTATATTGATACGCGAATCCTAAATCAACAGCACAGCACTGCGTCTACTGCATCTAGTAAATATATGGATACATGAACTTACAGATAATATGTATCACAGTTGTAAACATAGTGCCTGTGATAGACTCGTTATTAGTTTGCCCCTGCGTGACATGCTGTGTACATGCACAGATTAAGCATTACTTCTCCCTGTGTGAAATTGTTAGTGTTTATGTATAAAATTTTGTCATTACTGTATGCACTATATATATGTAGGTAACTTAACTTAAACTTAAATAACTTTCCCACTTTAATTTATCATTTTATTCATTTTCCAAACTATTAGATTAGCAATGCATTGGTCTAATGTGGTGAAGAACAAGTGATAAATGGCCATTTTAGATGTTTATGATATCACGTGTTTATAGATATCTTTGCGGTAGTATAGCGCTCACAAGCCCTAATTTCCCATTTCTATGTAGGCAACATTAGAGATTTTTCTATATTTGATATTTACAAGCACTTTTACTGTTACAGAAAAGATTATGACCTATGTAGGTTGTATTTTGGTCTTCTTTAACATTTCAGAACTGATTCCGTACTTGAAAACTTCGCGGGATGAGACACCCGTTTTGAGTTCCAACATGGCTAGCTGTTAAATGGTGTACCTACACTGTATCGGACGCGCCTCTACATATCATGATGACAGATGTGCCTATCGGACGCGCCTCTAGATATTTTGATGACACATTTGCCTATCGGACGCACCTTAGATATTATGATAACACATGCACTGATCGGACGCGCCTCTACATTGTTAGTGTTCAGAATGAATTATGACTAAAACTGACGTGCGAAAACGCCGTCATGTTGCTCAGTATGGGGACATTTTAGAAACAGTTAACCCCTTTATATCTTATAGAATGTAGTTTTTCAAATCACGTTCCACACAGTAAATTAAGATTCAACAACATGCGTCATGTATATTTTGTAAGTGGCAATGCAAAATTAGCCTGATTTAAAACGTTTTTTAAACATAAATATAGATCGTCCCATTACTAAACGGTTCCATCCCCAATGATATGGGTGACGTCATTTGTGGTGAGTGATTTTTATCATTATTGTATCCTGGTTGCATTTGTATTCAATACCAATTTTTATTAGGTCATCTGATCGAAGGTTCTGATGACCTATTGCGATCGCCTTTTTGTCCGGCGTCGTCCGTCGTAAACATTTTCTACTTCTTCTCAAGTTCTACATGTTTCATTGAGCTGAAACTTACCTGAAATGATTGTGACATGATCCTGACCAAAGTTTGTTAATTTCGGGTTGGTCCGATTTCCAACATGGCGGCCATGGCCGCCATCTTGAAAACACATTTTCGACTTCTTCTCAAGTTCAAAATTTGAAATCTTGTATTTTGTGTCAGATGACCGTTAAGGCCCACGGGCCTCTTGTTAGCATTACACACTGTACATATTGAATACAGATACAATCAGTATACAATAACTATTAAAATAAAAGAAAACAAATATTTTTTTCCCAATGCAAATGATTCCGTGACACTATACAAATGTGAGATAAAGAACGCAAATTGAAAGTTTGAAAATATCAATACAAGATATACTGACAGTAAACATTTACAAATGATTATTTTGCACAAATTGATTTATCATAGAAAACAAATACGAAATATATAACAAATAATTTCTTTATAATACTATAAATATATAAATAATGTAAAATATAGAACATAAAGGAAAAATCAACAAATCCAAGGAACACTAACAAAATATGAATATGTAAATATAGAATACAAATAAAATTAATAAGCAAAACAAATGTACAATTATGAAATATAAGTGTAAAATATATACTTTATAAATGAAAACTCGTTCGATAATCAGAGTCGGACATAATACATTCCTAAATCTGATATAATTGTGAAACGCTGCTAAGCAGCTAATCGTTATTACAATACAACTAAGCCAAATATTAATGAAAATAAAAAAATGATTTTTTGAAAAAATCATGTCAGCTTTCCAAGTTTAGATGTTGATATAACAAAGGCAAAGATATTGTGTGCAATAAGCAAATCAAACACAAATTAGGCGTGTGGTCCTAATGGGATTTTAGATGAATTTATAATCAATTGTATGACAATATTACTATCTTTTTATTTAACTGTATAATTCAATACGGCCATTTTCTAGAAATGTGGTCAAAAGGTTTTATATGAACCTGTGTTCAGGAAAAGATATGCAAATGATGTAAACAATCATTTGGATACTACTCTCGTAAGGCGTCTATATAAACATCTACAATAAATAAAAGGGGGCTGCATTTTATCCAAAGAATAAGAAGATTACTGCTGCTAAATTTGGTTTTAAGAAAAAAACTTTCTACTATTGGCGCTATATTTACATAATAATTACAATAATTAACCACGCTTAAATTAATGAATACTAAGGCGTTGTATTTTGTCAATCGTCAGAACCTGTGGAAAATTGTTGATAAGGTCGCTGTATAGATGGATCTTTAATGGATCTTTACATAATTATTTCAAATGTGAAAATAGAAATAGTTACACCCCCCCTCCCGTTATTGTATTATTGATTATTGTGAGATGCTGTTTCTAATTGACAGCTGTTCTTCTATAGAAATTAAGACTCTAAACCCTTCCTTTTAATGTACGCAGATGACATGATCCTATACTCAGAAACGTCACAGGGCTTACAGGTTATGCTAAATTTGGATATACCTAAAAATGGGATTTAACGGTTGATATATACAAAACAAAAGCTGTTATGTTTCGAAATTGTAATATCTTGATTAAGCGATGACAGTTGGAAATATAATGGTTATCAATACGGTGTTGTAAATAATTACCTCGGCATGTTACGTAATTACAACGGAACTTTTAGAAAAAATGCAGCAAAAAAAAAAACAAAACAAAAAAACAAAAAACAAAAACAAAAACAAAAAAGATCAGGGACGAAAAGCTTGATTCTCTGTTATGAATAAATGTTGAAAGAATTATTTTGATTTAGAAACCAAATAATCAATTTTTGATACGTACATCGATAACGTCAATATGTATGGGGTTTCAATTGAAAAAAAAATTATGTTAAAAAATCCGTACGACGTTCTGTGAAAGATGACTGAAAAGTATTTGGAATCATGTTGTTTATTTAGAGCTTGGTAGATTTTGATTTATTAAGAAAACTTTGAATATTTACGTTGAAATAACGATTTGGTGTTTATTTCTGGTAACTTCATTGCGACTGAATGTTCCGGACTGTCTGGTAACTTCATTGCGACTGAATGCACTCTGGCTTCTATTCTGACAAGTGTTCCGGACTGTCTGGTAACTTCATTGCGACTGAATGCACTCTGGCTTCTATTCTGACAAGTGTTCCGAACTGTCTGGTAACTTCATTGCGACTGAATGTTCCGAACTGTCTGGTAACTTCATTGCGACTGAATGCACTCTGGCTTCTATTCTGACAAGTGTTCCGGACTGTCTGGTAACTTCATTGCGACTGAATGCACTCTGGCTTCTATTCTGACAAGTGTTCCGGACTGTCTGGTAACTTCATTGCGACTGAATGAACTCTGGCTTCTATTCTGACAAGTGTTGCGGACTGTCTGGTAACCATTGGCTACAATTTCGCCATACCAGCGAAAAGGACCCAGCAGAGCTAAGTTTTCCTTCTAACAAAACATGGTTTATTGTAACGAAAACTGGTTTAAGCTTTTTATCAAATTACATATTTTCTAATATTTATTATGTATTTCTATATCTAAACAGCGAGTACAATCATTATGTGATATACTGTGTATTTCTGTATAACCATAAAAATGTTATTCAAAGATAAAGTATTCGGTTTATTTTTTACAAAATGAAGATTTATAAATAACAGTCTATTTCTCATTACACAACACTAGCACGGTATGGTTATGGTATATATTTGTTATGCATTTGCTCTTTCAGTGCGATGTTGTTAGTTCGTTGTTTCAACGCGTTTCCTTTAAAACAATTTTGCAGTACATTTAAAACCAATAAGCACACTGAGTGAAAATTTATGGAGAGGTGGATGAGGGCAAGGTGATGTGTTGAGTTTTATTTCCAGATCTATGTGTCAAATATTAAAATCAGATGTTTATAATTAAATCATCATCCAGTCAGTAGTGTAGTGTATTAAAGGTATGCCAAGGCAGAGGTCACATTACGTTGAAGGTCAAGTTCATTTTCAGAGAGATATCGTCATATAGGAGGAAGGTAGATCAATAAAAAAAAATGATATATTTATCACGGATAGTTTTACCTACCTTGCCAAGTCAGTACGCCGGGGTCAAATCAAATATATATTCTATAACAATTTCCTTGCACCATACCGCAATCTGGTTTGAAGGCAATTTCAAATAAAAAAAATCGTTACATTAAACGGACCCAATCATAATAGAATAGTTGTTGAAACAATTGTATGTATCCCTGCACTTATACTAGAACAAGACCAACGATATCCCCAACTTATCCTTGCCCATATATTAGAACAAAACCAACGATATCCCCAACTTATCCCTGCACATATACTGGAACAAGTCCAACGATATCCCCAACTCATTCTTGTCCATATATTAGAACAAAACCAACGATATCCCCAACTTATCCTTGCCCATATATTAGAACAAAACCAACGATATCCCCAACTTATCCCTGCACATATACTGGAACAAGACCAACGAAATCCCCAACTTATCCCTGCACATATACTGGAACAAAACCAACGATATCCCCAACTTATCCCTGCACATATACTGGAACAAGACCAACGAAATCCCCAACTTATCCTTGCCCATATATTAGAACAAAACCAACGATATCCCCAACTTATCCCTGCACATATACTGGAACAAGACCAACGAAATCCCCAAAATTAGAACAAAACCAACGATATCCCCAACTTATCCCTGCCCATATATTAGAACAAAACCAACGATATCCCCAACTTATCCTTGCCCATATATTAGAACAAAACCAACGATATCCCCAAACCAACGATATCCCCAACTTATCCTTGCCCATATATTAGAACAAAACCAACGATATCCCCAACTTATCCCTGCACATATACTGGAACAAGTCCAACGAAATCCCCAACTTATCCCTGCACATATACTGGAACAAGTCCAACGAAATCCCCAACTTATCCCTGCACATATATTAGAACAAAACCAACGATATCCCCAACTTATCCCTGCACATATACTGGAACAAGTCCAACGAAATCCCCAACTTATCCCTGCACATATACTGGAACAAGTCCAACGAAATCCCCAACTTATCCTTGCCCATATATTAGAACAAAACCAACGATATCCCCAACTTATCCCTGCACATATACTGGAACAAGTCCAACGATATCCCCAACTTATCCTTGCCCATATATTAGAACAAAACCAACGAAATCCCCAACTTATCCCTGCACATATACTGGAACAAGACCAACGAAATCCCCAACTTATCCTTGTCCATATATTAGAACAAAACCAACGATATCCCCAACTTATCCCTGAACATATACTGGAACAAGTCCAACGAAATCCCCAACTGATCCTTGCCCGTATATTAGAACAAAACCAACGATATCCCCAACTTATCCCTGCACATATACTGGAACAAAACCAACGATATCCCCAACTTATCCCTGCACATATACTGGAACAAGACCAACGATATCCCCAACTTATCCCTGCACATATACTGGAACAAGACCAACGATATCCCCAACTTATCCCTACACTTATACTGGAACAATTCCAACGAAATCCCCAACTTATCCCTGCACATATACTGGACCAACGAAATCCCCAACTTATCCTTGCCCATATATTTGAATAAAACCAACGATATCCCCAACTTATCCCTGCACATATACTGGAACAAGTCCAACGACATCCCCAACTTATCCCTGCACATATACTGGAACAAGACCAACGATATCCCCAACTTATCCCTACACTTATACTGGAACAATTCCAACGAAATCCCCAACTTATCCCTGCACATATACTGGACCAACGATATCCCCAACTTATCCCTGCCCATATATTAGAACAAAACCAATGATATCCCCAACTTATCCTTGCCCATATATTAGAACAAAACCAATGATATCCCCAACTTATCCTTGCCCATATATTAGAATAAAACCAATGATATCCCCAACTTATCCTTGCCCATATATTAGAACAAAACCAACGATATCCCCAACTTATCCTTGCCCATATATTAGAATAAAACCAACGATATCCTCAACTTATCCTTGCCCATATATTAGAATAAAACCAACGATATCCTCAACTCATCCTTGCCCATATATTAGAATAAAACCAATGATATCCCCAACTTATCCTTGCCCATATATTAGAACAAAACCAACGATATCCTCAACTTAAACTAAAACTTCAGGATATCATCAGAATTTGATGTATTAAAGAATGCCAACTCCACCCGTCTTCCCTCATGGAGAACTAAGATACTGTCCACCAAATTGCTAGAAGACAGTCGCTAAATATATTTGACTTCGGTAACATAAAATGTCAGGCCTATTATAAAGAAACATAACGGTATAGTATACGAAGCTTGCCAACAAGACTTACCACCAAAATGTCGGCGGAATCCACTGGAGTGCTTATCAAAACAGGTTACAATGACCTGTCTATCCAAACTCAAGTACCGCTTTGATTCAAAAAGTATTTCAAGGCATAGAATATATTAATACCTGTCGCAATATATAATGTTTGAAAAATGTTATAAAAATGTACTGTGATTATTGATTTTATTGTTTCTTAATTGTATGGTAAACTGTACTGTTTCGGTAACGATCAGATCGTCTCTGGTTTCATATCCAATAATACTGAAATATTTAAGTGTTACAAACCTTCTCCGTGAAGAAGTATTTAACCATACCCACTTGGCAGTCATAAACACGATGTAAGTATCGTGTAGATATAAGCGGGGATAAAAGTAAATAATCCAATTATATCTAATATTAATTGATATTGCTTAAACAAGGAAAGATGACAAACATTCAATATTGAGATGTATATTTCTCGTAACTGCCAATACCTGTGTCATAAACCACCAAACATATGCAGCCTGCATCCTTTTGGTGTGCGAGTTGTTTGATTCCTAAATCGACCACAAAAAATACGGCGTTATACAAAAGTAATTTATACTTATTGTGCATGTCTATGAATTTCAAAAATGTAGGACGTTGGGATGTGGATGTTTCGATATACTTAATCCCATTATATACATTAATATCTCTAGGTACCCATAAACTGTTAAACCGTGCAATCACATAATACATCTTGATAACATGTAGGTACTTAACAAAGGGTTGTCTACGCCATTACAAGCTATTTCATTGGGAATGTCATTGTGACGTGTTACCGCCGACAGGGGTCGTTGTGGAATTGATATCTACTGTTCTAAAATAAAGTAGAAAATTATACCTCCTCGATTTTTATTTTATGTGAAATACACCAATACATGAATAACTGGAAGTAAAGGGGAGTAGAGATATAAAACACCTTTTATTATGTTGGTGATAAGTTAGGATTGTAGATTATTGTTACTGTTGTGATAGTCGGTGGTCACGTAGAACGTGTGATGAATTATAAGTCATAATTTAAAGTATAAAAGTATTGAAACATTTACTTTGAAAATTACAATATTAACAATCCCCATTGTGATAAGATCGGCCATCACTGGTTACCTCCCTTGCTGACCTACAAATCTCCTAAACTAAATACTAACACCATGGACTCCGGCCGTTCGTTACGACTTCGCCTGTCAGATTACCACATCTCTCCACATTTAGGCTTCTTGCTTGAGGATGCCATGGTAATGTCCCCAATCTGACGTCTGTCTACAACATGTTAAGGTATAACAGGTCCCGACCTGGTCTCTCATGAGACAATCGGAATGTCTGCTACACGTGTTTTGTTTACTTAGTCTTGCTAAAGTCCAGACTTTAACGAGTTCTTAATCATTAAATAATGCCTGCGATATGTTTAGGTCAATTTTGTTGGTATAGCGACTAAAGCTAATAATCACAGATGTGACAGTAACAATTTAACGTTGTAAAGTGTACGGCTTATATACTAGTATCGTAAAAATAAATGTAATAATGAAACGAATAGACGGATTTGACAATATATGTAAACTGTATACCGTTAACAGGAAGTATTACCAGAGTATTTCCAAGTGTGGAATCACCTGGCCAGTCCGCCAGTGTACATCCCACTCATCGAAAGTCATGGACTACGGCAAGAGGTAGACAAGGTAGGTATCTCGCTTGAAAAATCACCTTGTCCCTATATACATACATGTATACTCAGCAAAAAATCAACACAAGGGAAATCTCAGAGTTCCATAGCTCACAACAAAATATTAGCATGTCCATTCTCTATCAAGACTGGAGGAGGTCACTCCGCCCCTTCCACAACTCTAAACAACAACAAAAAAACATAGTACACCCCCCCCTTCCTCTGCTGCAGAGAAGTCACCGTGTCCCGCCCATACTCTACACAACAACATATATATATACACGCTATATATACACTGGAGAAATCATTGTGTTCCTTACCTACATGTACACAAGAGAAATCACCGCGTCCCTTTATCTTTGTAGGTTTAAGATCATATTCTATCGAAAAATATTCTGAGCTTATGTCGATATATTAGTTTATGTTGTAAGGTGTTAAAATTATGTTGGCCTTAATGAGGCGGAATAGGTAATAATATCCTATCATATTCTACTGGTCACGTTTTCACCCGTAGATGCCTGTTCTTGACCATTCTCGTCTGTCTGGACATCGACAGCTTCAACTGGCCCACCTCCAGCTTTCAATCCTTGTCAATGGTTACGTATGGCAAGACGGCGACCACGGTGTCTCAAAGGTAAGTATAAATACGTTTATTTTGTATTAAGACAGTGACCAAGGTGTTACCTTTGTTTACTCTACCTGGACTGTGCTGTGAACACATAGAGGTCTCAAAAATAAAAGCAAGTTTTTATTTGTTTCACAAAAGTACAAAATTTATTCTGTACCAGGTAGGTGACCCCGATGCTTCAAAAGTACACATACTTTTCTGTGTCAAAGTTAAATACCAAATGCCTTTTTATGAAAAAGGATGCACGCATACCTACATGTACAAGGGCGATGCATCAAGTTAACTTAAGGTAGGTAAAATGTGCACACGTTCATTTGTATCTAAAGACAAATGTCATACTATGACACTCCAAAGGCAGGGCATGTAAGAAGGAAGGTGAAATGGGCTCTCAAAGTAGGTTGGACTGGTAGACGGCTAAGGTGTCCCTACGGAAGGACTTGCACGCGATTGATAAAGGCTCTTCCAAGATACATGTAGGTCGGGGATAAAGGTCGATAGAGACGCTGCAAATATCAAATGTCAGACAAGAAGGTGCTTCATAGGGAAGTTTTGGTGAGATGGCGACCATTAAGGTACTAAGGGAAGGGAATGGTAGAAAATGGTTTCAAAGTAAGCGAAAAAAATGACCCAAGGTGTTAATGGTTATTGGCCAAATAGAAGAATGATGATACTCGACCAGCTTTGTCTATCTGTTAACTTTACAATCTGTATTGACAACGTAATGTATATATCTTGCACACTTGTATTCTTGTAGCGCGTGCCGCGATGTCTGTCAGTGCCCTACTGCGGTGTGTCCAGGCTCCTGGACGTCCAGCCCATCCTGTCTCATGCCGATGTCGTCCTGGCTAACTGGGTGGCTATCGACAAACAAAGGTACATTAATTTAGCATTAGTACAAGGTAAGTATGTATTTGATTACGATTGAGATCTTTCGTAAAGTTACGTCTCCTAATTTTGTTGTAGAAGACTCTCAGTCCGAGCATTGTTTCGCCTTTACAATGAACGTTACTAATATGACAGGTTTGACACATAATATGAACTCCAAACACTAGTTACGAAGAAAAATCAACAATTTGGGTAAAATCCTACACCAGTATTTAAACTTTTAACAGATATTTATGGGTAAAATCCTACACCAGTATTTAAACTTGTAACAGATATTTATCAATTTCCTTTCTTCTTTCAGACCTATAACGATAGAGTAAGTTTGCCAAATCGTCTGTTTTCTGCAGTGTGTCATCCATCAGTCTCGGAAGGTGGTTCTGGTAACTTAGTGTGTTTGACATGAGTAGAGGGTTGAAGTAAGATCAATAGAAGCAACGGTACCAGGTAAAAGTTCGGAATACCATTATTTGTAGATAAATGGAATTTAAAATGAAACTTTACAATTATATAAATTAACCAACAGAAAGGTAACAAAAAGGACATAACGTAGAATGCCCATCGCCGAACTTGACTATTCAGGGAAGACAAAGCGAATCTTAGTTTAAAAAGTTGTATGAAGACATGTATGTGTTGCGAGTCACACAGAGTTTTGAACATATACTTACTCAACACAACTCTCCAAAATGTTTGTATTGAAAGGTGTTATTTATTTGTGTGCCTTTTGTGCAATGTTTGTTTCTCAGTAGATATAATTAAAAATGTTTGTTAACAGGAACATCCGGATACTATACAGACTTCCCGGAGGTGAGGAAGGAGCCTGGTTCTTTCAGGCCACAGTTAGCGTTGAACTGGCATTTTGTTCTGCTTTGCAGGTTTGTAATGTATGTTTATTTACGTGTCATTGTATTTTTCCTGGTCGAGACAGACAGAAGTCTGATACATGGTAAATATGACTCTGTTCTGTGTCGGATTTATCACTACTAGAATCATGTACAAATGTATGATTTCATTACTGTTGTGCGAACGGATTGCAGTCACATACCTGTTTCAGTGGTGTTTTGTTTGGTACTATTCAGCCCATAGTGCTTGCTCTGGAGGCAACTGACACTGGCGATGACGTGACTCTAGTGAAATGCTTGAAGGACATTGCGTCAACCATAAAGGATATGAAGACAGCCGTATCCAGAATGCATGGCAAGTCTGTCCATTTGAATATTTGTAACAAACATGCAAATATGTTCAGCAGACTACTAATAAGATATAGACATCAAGGGAATACTAAAAATTTCACCAAATCACTATTTAAACTCGACATCTTCAGTGTCCACCTTAATGCAAATGAGTATAATACGACAAAAACGTCATTTATCTTAACACGATGGCAGTGTTGTCAACGAAACACGAAATTTTATCATTATTCCATGACAAGAAAATTTATGCAAAAGGATACGTTTATATATACATCTGAACATATTTATCACCTTTCAATAAAACTGAGTGCTAGCTACAGAATTCTTGTGAACACATTGGTTTACAGATGGACTGAGTGCAGACACTTTTTATAACGTGACGAGACCTTTCCTAACAGGGTAAGTGGTTTAACATGTGTTGTATGTGGTTCTTACTTATAGGGATCATAGTAGACCAATATTTCATACATTAACCGTTGTCGGTCCATTACAGATACCCTTTCTGGGGTATTCTAAGGTCTGCAAACCGTAGCCATTTACTTAATGAAACCAGTAGCTGTATAAATGAAGGAAAATATCCATCTTGCTATGCTAATATGGTGAGGTGTACATTAATTTTATAAAGCATTGATAACATGTTTGTAATCTCTAAGCATCAACCAAAGACTTTCCTCACGTTGTCCATAATGGCTGTGTGATAATAAATGACCAAGGAATGGGGTCAGTTGTGCAATCGACAGCGATAACTTGATGTATTATAGCTAATATTTCCTTTGTTATTGGTAGATTGTAAAACATATTTCTTTTTGATCAGCAAAATTGTAACATCAAAAACGCAAAAACACTTCTTAACAACAGGACGGAAAACAAGCTTAGTATGTGGATATCCAGGACCCTGAGGCAGGTGAAGCATCACAATGAAAGTAACCAAAAGAACAAGATCACTGTTTACATATTCATGATCGCTCTACTTTATTTACAGTGTAGTTTTGTTCTTTCGGTTACTTCACTCGCCTAGAAGGCTACCGAGAAAAATTTAGAAAAGGAAGTGCACTTGCCCCATAATTCAATTAGTTTCTCAATTTTCCTACATGTTCATGCCATAATTTTATAATAATGTCACGTACATGTGTATACTCTAAACCGTGTCACTATTCGAATGAATTAAGCGTGATATACAGATTACAGCAAACCTCGGGGTCTAAAAGTTCCCCAGCAGTGTCTACCATCTGCAATCTTAAACCTCATTGTACGCACACTTCATTAGCCTGTATCGTGTGCTCCGAATCTCTGCCAGTCTCTGAGGAACCGACGATGTATGTTTATTTTGAGCACAAACAAGAACTGAATGTTATTTTAAAAGCTTTCGAGAACGTCTCTATCAATACAAAATGTATGTGATACGAGGTGAGCGTCAACTTAAGTTTAAATAAAAGAAAATTGACAGTTAGTATCTGGATTCTTTATATACAGGTGGGGCGGAGATGGATCCCCTTTGCCAGAAGGACTTGTGTACGAAGGAGTTAATGATGAACCACTTGAGGTAACTTCAAGTACAGTATAAAGACCAGATAGTTGTGTTATGTTATTTAGAAGTAAGGTGATACAGAAAAGAATGAATTTGATAGATGTATGTACAGTTTGATAGAAACAACATATTATTGAACTTCAACAACTCAGTAATACAGAAAACAAAAACAGTTAAAGGTTAAAGAAATCGTTTGAAACAAAACATATTTGAGATTTTTGGTCAAATATAGTGGAAAAATGGTTCTCATACATACCGGTGAATGTGTTATATATAAGAGCAATATTTTCTCCAATAGATGACTGGGGGCAGTGCCGCCCAGAGCTCTACTGTTCAGTGTCTGGACGCCGCCCTCGGAATAACACACGCACCTGGTAAGCATCAATCAATGTTTGGAAGTCCACTTCGAGGTGTTTAATCAATGATCTCAAAAGAGATGCAGTTTAATTCCTATCTAACTCTGAAGATTTTAAAACGTACCCTTGTGAGTCAAGCTGATGTCACGTAAATAGTTAAACGTTCACAGAAAAGATAAAAAGAAAGGTGAAATCTGTCTTGAGCGAAATTGATCCTGGTACGTCCCCAGGAAGGATGAGGATAGATGTTGGTGTAGTAACGAATTGACATCTGTATGATCTAAGTACTAAGAAAAGATATCTAGAATTGACACCATTTACGAATCACCTCCAGCACGTGACTGTGCACTTTTTTTCGTTTGCGGTAATGTGATCCTCAAAATTAATGTAAGAAGATAGCATACACTATCCGGCTTTTACGTCTGATCCCCTTCTAGGTTTAAATATGAAATGATTTTACCTCACTTTTTGTATCACCTTTCCTGTTTATATTCCGTAAACACTATCGTACAAGAGTTCTTTTACCTGCTTAATAAGGAACTATGCCTTGTTCGATATCAAGACATTCATTACCAACATATTAATTGTCTATGACTACTACAGTTTAGGTTCATTGTTAAATAGACAGTTTTCTGTCTTAATATGTGATCCGACGTAGAGCAATCAAACTTTTGTAAATAAAATCTAAAATGTAGCATTTCTGAATTTTCAGCATTCAGACTCATTGATGTATATATGTGTGTGATTTTGTAGATGTCCAAGCATTTTTAGACCGAATGAAACCATATATGCCCCGCCCACATCGAGAGTTTTTGAACGATGTCCGGGAAAGGTCGAGGATCGCACCTTACGGTAAGTTTTAAAGTTGTAACGACGAATTTTCGCTGAACTGTAGATACGAGCAGATTATTTGATGAAATATTATTATTATATTGTTATTCCTATGAAATATACCCACGCCTTGCGGCTTCTGTCAGAAGTAAACATCAATTAAATGCATGCACGATGTAGACGCCCTATGTTGGCATTAGAGTTGTATATATATATATATATATATATATATAGTGAAAATGTGATGAATTGTTCGTGCCCAGCAAAAATATAAAAAATTAAAAGAATGGAAAACACGATGAGCTGTAAAACATAAGCGCTTTCATATATATATATAGATGTTTGCAGTACTGGCATACATTATGCAAATGTTTATCAACAGATCTAGTAGGTTTACAGTGTTTAGCTGACTCCTTTTTTGAGAAAAAACTCGTCCGGGAATAAAATTTATCCATAAAACTATGGACAATATTCATATTCGTGTGTATATTTTTATTTTAACATTTGTCTGTCTTTACGTTTGAAAAGATATATCTTTTATTTATTTCTTGATTAAAAGGAGGAGTCAACTTTCACCCTAATAGTCAGCTTTTCCGACAAGCATTTGTTTTCGGGCCCTAGAAACCAGAGAATGCGGTCAACCAAGCCAGAAATCACAAATCTAACCCCGTAATTTGTGGTGATAATTCACGCAAACTTTAGTTTCAATCTATCCAGGACTTCCAGTGTTATATTTAAGGAGGTAGCGCAGAAACCAGGGAATGTTAAAATTGTTGACGTTATGAACCGAATCACGTCACAAAATGAACGAACGAAATTCTTCAAAACGTCATATAAAATGTCTTCAGCTTGTAAGTACAACTATAGATAACAAAGTACGTTTGTATATAAAAACTTAAATCCAAGATATTATGTTGGAATCCGTTTTATAATCAAATATGTCTTACTTCCGGTCAAATACCTGAAGGGTAAATCCTTAGTTAATCTACCAACTGAAAATAACATAAGACTATTAAAATAAAATGAATACAAACATTTCCTAAAACGATCAGCTAGATTTCACACACAATAACGCAGCTGTATTAATACGTAAAGAACGATTTTATAGTAAGAATCACATAGGATATATAGATGGTTACTACTGTTCATTGCCTCTGTGAAAATGAAAAAAAAATCCAGTCTCTAGGTTAGAGAACATGTATAACTTTTGAACCAGAGTCAGGTTACAGTCGCTTACAATTACAATTTGTTTGAAAAACAGTTAATTATATTATTAGTAGCTACAAACAATGGCTGTTCGTGTTAATTTAGGGTGCCATTGTCAAAGTCTCATTCAGTATGTCTTTAAATATCTTGTTTGAGGTATATATTTAGTAACTAACATAATGAAATATTATTGTAGGCAGTGGGCCGTACTTTATTTTTATGGATCTTAAAACATTTTATCATTCGGTGATTTGTTTAAAAAGTCTCGGAAAGTGCCCATCAAAATACTTCATTCCGTATTGAATAATGAAATGTTGAGACTAGTTACAAATATAATTCATACACTGGTGTCCTAAAGGTAGGACTACGAACTACTTGTTGTTCCCATTGAACAAGTGTATCTTGATCATGAAACAGGTTGTATACATTTGTCATATTAAGGAGATGTGCAGTGTACCATATTCTGAACCCTCGATTACAGAGTTACGGCCCTTTGTTAATATTTCGGGTCAAGAGCACAACTTTGCTTGCATATACACTAAGATAACGAAACTTGGTATATTCATTGATCATACGAAGTCGATATTCAATGTACCATCTTCAGGGTCCGCAGCCAATTAATTTCAGAGTTGTTACCCTTTGTTACAAATATCTTGTACAGACTATAACTCTGCGTTCATTTAAGGTAAGATATTGAAACTTAGTGTATGCATTGATCATACGAAGACATTATGCAGGGTGCCAATTTTATCCCGCTACCCCTTAATTACAGAGATATTGCCCTTTGTTAAAATGTTGTGCCTTTAGGATTACTTTGCCTGCATTTAAACAAGAATATTGAACGGTATGCACACATCAGTTATACAAAAGGAAGATGCAGTGAAGCAAAGTCAGGGCCCATGACTTCTCAGTACAGAGTTATTGTCCTTTGTTACTTTTTTGTGTCATGAACAAAGCCTTGGTTGCATTAACATTTGGAGCATGAAAATTATTGTATACATTGGTAATACTACAAGAATGTGTTGAATATCAAATTATGGACCTGCATCCTCTTTATACAGAATTATTGCCCTTTGGTATAATGTTGCGACGAATAAAGTCATTCTTGGGAAGCATTCATCATTTTCACTGATACTCTTTTTTATTTGTCTCTTGAACACTACCTTGTACCTCACTTCTGGCTCCAGATTTGAGTGAACCCAGAGTGTGGAAAGCAGTGTGGTTTGCCCCATGACATACCAGAATCATTCAAATAGTATATACTAAGCCTTTCTTTTCCTACAGCAATGATTTCGTTTGCCCTACCTGCAGCACAAGCATTGCATGGGATGTGCAATGACAGGCTATCCTGCTATGATTTTTATCATTATACCATAAAGTGTCATTCTACTTTGTCCAGGTTATTACAATGCAGTGTGATGACACCTCGTACTAGTCTCACGTTCTTATGGACATTCACATAAATGTACATGAAATGTAGCCTTACACATTTGTTCGATATCAATATTTCTGATATTCCAGTGCGTTCCAGTTCTAATGAAAAACTGAAGACAGCTTATCGAGACTGTATAGCGTCTTTGGTGGAGTTTCGTAGTTACCACATACAGATCGTCACAAAGTAAGTTTCACTTGTTATCATTAGGGAAGTAGTGCATATCATTCATACTACTAGATTTCTCTATTGCGTTTTCGTTTAATTATCACAGGTACATCATAGTGGCTTCCAGCAAGAAGAGACAAGAAGACGAAAAGTACAGATCTGTGTCAAAAAAGGGAACGGGAGGTTCTAGTGAGTATTGCATAGGTATCCATTTAATAAACGGGAGTTCTAAATATAATTGACATGTGTCGACAGAGGTAATGAATTGTTCTTGTGACTGTTATAAAGAAATGGATCTGACAAATTCTGTTTGGTGAATATTAAATTTGACAAAGAATGGTTCCTGTGATTATAACGTAGAGAGGGATCTAACAAAGAATGGTTCCTGTGATTATACATAGACGGGATTTTGACAGTTAAAGTTGGTCATCGCTAATTCGCGCTTGAGAACTACTATATGGACTGTAAAACAATTCTCATATTTATTATTTAGGTTCCCAATGGTCCTTAGATGTGCTTTGTTCATTTGAAAACTACATGACTGATTGGTGGCCATCTTGGATTGTGTCCGTTGTTCTTTGTTAAACTATTTCCAAAATATTGAAACTATCTTTGGCTACTTATGTAGGTATCCTTTTTGCCTTATTGCCCGTGTTCAGTGTTCACAGCAGAAGACATAATAGAAAAGAAAAACATATCAAACTGCATTTAAATGAGACCCAGTAAAGATCATAAATGGTGGACGCCTAGATCACTTTTTGGACCCTCGATTCTTTTGTTTTAGAACGTCATATAAGCTTATACCCTTGCTCGGTATCCGTCTTCCATCCCTACGTCCTATCATTGTCCGTCTGTATGGCGTCTACTTTTCATTTCATGCTTCTTGTCAATAACCAAAAGGCACAGGGTATTGATATTGTGCCTGCAGCATGCTTTGGAGATAGACTGTTTAAATAAATGACTTTAGTCCACTATCATGCTATTAGGGTCAGATGTGTTGAAACATGCAATCGAATAATCGAATTCTACTCAGTGACCAAAATTCCCGGAGTGCTCTTGTTGGGTTGTAATACACTTTGATGAGGAGGAACTACACAATTTGTACACCTAAATACAATTGTCTCACTTCCAATGACACATGAGTAAATTGGTAAAAATCTTTAAGTGAATTCTCAATAACCAAAAGGTACAGGTATTAATTCTGTACAATCCGTGCATAAAAAAGGCTACCAACTGTTCAACTGAATGTCCTTGACCTATTTTCAATGTCACAGGGGTCAAATTTGTAAAATAATTCTTCAAATCACCACTCAATAACCAAAAGGTTCATGTTACTGATATTTGTTCTGTGGAATGCTATGATGAAGAGCTACCATATTGGTTCCGATAAATGACCTTGACCAATTTTCAAAATGATAAAGGTCAATATGTCAAAATGTTGAAACGGTGCCTCAATAATAGCTAAAAGACCCAGGGTGCAGATACTGCGTGTCTGTATCACGCTGGGAAAAGGGGTTACAAAGTCTGTTCAAAACGATGGCCTTGAACCACTTTCTAGGACACAGGGGTCCGAGATGAAAATTTCAAAACAACCTATTCTAAAAGTGGTAATTCCTCCAAGTTTCAAAATTTTTGGCTGTTAAGTACCTTTTAAGAACTCATTCTAATGACTTTTAAAACTATTGTTAGCAAAATATCTCTCCCGTGGTCAGTTTGGACAGCCAAAATTGTTGGGAATAATCCCATCCAATATAAATGTAACCATCTAAATATAGTGCATCATGAAATCCGGAACTGAAGGATCCCTGAATCATAGATTATATGCAGAGTATTGGGTAAATACACAAGTGTGTATGCTCTTCAGTAAAATTTCTGCTTAAATTATGTTACACCATTAGGTCGATTATATAATGTACACAAATATTTCATTCTGTTCGGCATATAAGAGTGCAAACATGATATGACACAATCGGGGCAGCGTTTATAAATAGATGTAGCTAGATCTATAAGGAAATTCCGCAAATTAAACATAATAAATATATAAATAATTAAATATATTATAAAAGACCACAAGTAAATAACTTTTAACAATTTTTTTTCAAGAGCATCATGTGATATCCTAACTTTATGCGAATATCCTTTTTACACCACAAAAGACTCGGTTTCTGGATCTTACAGCAGTTAACGGTAGCAGTTTTCAAAAGCAATTTCTTATTTTAAACAAACAGCTGGCCCTGTGTGATAGTATTTGTGTAGTAGCATGCTTGTAGAATAGGCTTTCAAGTTTGCAGAGACTGACATGACGGACCCACAATCTTCTGTGTATTCTGCAGAGAACATGTAAGCTATTCTAACCTATATAGCCCCTTGTCTTATTTATCATTTTAGTTCGGTGAACTTTCTTCATGAAAGAACATGTTTGTCGCAGGTATACTACCATTTCTGAAGAGCTCCAGAGATACAACAAAACAGATGGACGGCAGCATGTGATATCACAACAAAACAGATGGACGGCAGCATGTGATATCGCGGACACTTGTGTTTACCTCTACAGTGACACAAACATTCCTGATCAAAATAAAATGTACATACTGTGATAATTGATCTCTACATCTTATTATTGTTACTGGAATATTCAAACATTTAAATATCTAGAAAGAAGAGGATCCTTATAAGGTAATATCACATTAACATATAGTGACTGACGGAATTTTGATTCCATGTAACACGTGCAACTTACATACTCGGATGATTTATTCAAATAATTAATTGATCCAATACAAGCGATGCAGAAAACTTTAATTTGATCAATCTTTCTACAAGCAATGGAATGTGATTTCTGTTAATCCACGTCTCTGAGGTCTGCATACCCCGCGTGTCTCCGCCTGTTTTTTTTGTTTTTTTGTTTTTCTGTCTCCTTGATATTGTGAATGACCGCGAGTTGACTCGCAGCCACATCCCGTTCCCTGAAACATACCGTGAGTTGACTCGCAGTTACATCCCGTTCCCTGAGACATACCGTGAGTTGACTCGCAGTGACATCCCGTTCCCTGAGACATACCGTGAGTTGACTCGCAGCCACATCCCTTTCCCTGAGACATACCGTGATTTGACTCGCAGTTACATCCCGTTCCCTGAAACATACCGTGAGTTGACGCGCAATTACATCCCGTTCCCTGAAACATACCGTGAGTTGACTCGCAGTTACATCCCGTTCCCTGAGACATACCGTGAGTTGACCCGCAGCCACATCCTGTTCCCTGAGACATTGAAGAACAACGCATCTACCCTATTTTATACCATTTTCCATATCGCTCACTACGAGTGTGTGTAATCTTGATGATGGACACGCGCCTCTTCACTGTCAGACTGTCTACGTTTTGACGGAATTTGTTCCCTTATTTTCGAAGTTCTCCATGTGTAACAGCCAGTCCTTGTTATGTTGTGTCTCACAATAGGTGTCGTCATCTGATCAGTACCGTCGATATCAATGTGTTTTGATGTCAGTCTCTTCTTGGTGACATTTCGTGCTGCTAGTAACTGATGGAGAATAGACGATATCGATGTTCTCTTTATCAACAATGTCTCACCATTAATGCCCTAACTGTCATGGTCCCTCCACTATACATGTTCCTTATTATCAACGCCTCACGCTATCAATGTCCCTAACCTTCAGCGTCTCCTCGATATCAGTGTATTTCACCATAAGTGCCCAATCATAATCAATGCCCTTAGCTATCAGCGCTCCTTCCCGCTCAGTGTCCCTTAATATTAGTGTCTTTCACTATCAATGTCCCCTCAGTATCATTTCCCCCTCAATATCAGTACCCTCTCACTATCAGTACCCTCTCACTATCAGTGCCCCTTCCCTCTCAGCGTCCCTTACTATTAGCGTCTTTCACTATCAGTGTTTTTCACTATCAGTGTCCCTTCCCTCTCAGCGTCCCTTACTATTAGTGTCTTTCACTATCATAGCTCCCTCACTATCTGTCTTTCACTATCATAGCCCCCTCACTATCTGTCTTTCACTATCATTGCCCCTCACTATATGTCTTTCACTATCATTGCCCCCTCACTCTATGTCTTTCACTATCATTGCCCCCTCACTATCTGTACCTTTTCACTATGAGTGCACCCTCATTAGCATCACTCCCTCTTATGATATCATTATTCCCTCAATGATCGGGTCTGTTCATTATCTGCGTGCTTGTTTCCTCTGACAATTGAGCGTATTAAATGCAAGTTTTTCCCAAATGTACATTTTCATATGCGAACTTACTTTGGTGGAGGAGATACGACTGTCCTGTATATAATCACAAGCGTGTGGCGGTCTGTCCAGGTAAAACGTGAAGCCGGGCACATCGATCACCTCAGCAGTGATTGATTTAGCTAGAATACCCGTGATATAGGCGTCCTCAATAGGAATGAACGGCATATACTCCGACGTCCTGAATAAGGTCGACGCAATGTTAGAGGAGATCACGTAGGTGTTACCGGCGGTGTAAGGTGGGTAATGTGGAAATGGGTAATCTTTCTGGTTCACTTTCCACCTCCCTACACGTTTTACAATACCGTCGACATTCACATGCCCTAGTACTACGCCCTGGTAAGCGGGGTGCCGGACATTCGCCAAGACGTCCACGAGTTTGGGGATGTGGACGAAGGTGTCTTCATCCGCCTTCAAAATGTATTCAGCGTCGGTACAACGTGATGACACCCAGTGTAAACCCATTAGCATTTTCCGTGTCAAATTCGCATAGGTATCGGCGAAATCTGCCTGTACAACATCACCATACAAGTCGCTCTCCAGCTGGGCAACTTTGTTGTTCTTCAGAGCAGGATCTTCACCAAATAGAAACGCAAGTTTAATGGTAGCGTTCACATGATGTCGAGGCCAGTGGTTTCCCCTAGCAACGCTGCCCCATGAATTACGTATGGCCCGGCGCTCCTCCACGTGTGTTACTATAGTAGGAACGAGAATGACTAAATACACCGGGTCTTCCCCTAAACATATTGCTGACCCGGGAATGGTATATTTAAAGGGAAACGGATTCACTTTTTCTTTTCTAGGAATAAAATATTGTGCATATTCTTCGTCCCTGGACAAGCACCTTGCTCCGACACAGGCTTGCGACACGGGTCGACGGAGAACGGTGTGTGTTTTTTTCGGCTGTGTATCATGGTTCTTTGAAACGTGCAGTGATGTCATACACAGAAAAAACAGGGCTATTCCACAAAGCACTACCCCAGTTCGCATTAACAGCCGACGGATATGTGAACATCGTGGTTGTGGAACTGTCATTTTATCCTAGAAATGATACAAAAAAATCAATTGTAATTCATTAAAAGGTGTTCGATATATGTATTCAATTAAATAATTAACTTTAAAAGAGATTTTTCCTTTGTTTTTGTACCTGTGAACTTATAAATATCATATACAGCTAATAGATCAGAGTGCAGTAAGACAAATGGGCGGTTGATATCCTTGTCACTTAAAAAATAACACTTATTATGATTGTCTAAAGTAGTTGTGTGGTAACATAATAGTTTCAGTCTTCATTGTCTATTACACTTCCTAACAATACACATGCCAACCCCTTCTAAATCAAAACCAAGCATACAGGAAGCCGATGGGAAAACGCAGAGTAGCTTTGTATACATACGTACACAGGATATGTATGTACTAAAAATACACACATCGGCAACAGACGAGTTATCGCTTCTCCCCCTCCGCATGTTATGGTTCCCTTCGTCACACACGTGTACCACACGATTTTGAATGATCCTTCGAGCGTTTTGTTTACATGGCACATGTATAATGTACATATGTAATTCTTATTAAAATAGCCTGCTTTCAACATCAATATAAACACCTTCACCATTTGGGATGATTTGTTTACTCTCGTGTTAACATCATATCGGTAATTACCAAGTTTTATGTAAAACCGGAAGAACACACACTCTCTTTGTTATTACGTAGAGAAAAGTAACTTGGGTACTTACCGTGGTCCTATGTGACGCCGTGCTATTTAACGGCCATTGTTTTAGTAGATTCTGATCCAGGTTTGGACTCCTCTCCAAGAAAATTATTCCAGACATTTGCTGAAGGTCTCGAGTATGCTGCTTCTACCACTGAAAACCCCATCTGCATTGGAAACGTATCGCATCACGTGACTCACGGAGGGTTACGTATACCTCCCCGTTACACCCCCTCCCCCGCTCCTCTTTTCCCCCGGAGATACCGTACCTGAGCTATAGTGGTAATACATATTCTGTAAATTCATTAGCTTTATATTTAATAAACAATAATACATGAGTACCTTAGTACGCCTCCATGTCATACATGTACGGGGGAAATCGACACATTTACATGTATAAAAGTGTAATTTAAAGGAGTTCATGATACATACAAACAAACACTAAATTTCCTGACGAAAAATGCACATGTATATAGGATTTGTTGTCAATGATTAGCGACGACACTATAGCGTTATACAGATACAAAATTTTATCAAGCCTCCCCCCTCAATAAACTATACATCCAACACAGCTTATTACATAAAACATGTTTGTATACAAGATGTCTTGGAGACTTTAGAAAAATGGTGACTTAGACAATAATATACATACAATATTGCTGGTAAAATAAACTAGCAGTAATTTAGTAAACAGTATCTACCTGTAAATAATTTACATATAAAGGATTAAAAAACGACATTCTTCAAGGGTTCCGAATAACAAAGCAATCTATGTTTCAATTCAAACTTTATTACCACATTTATCCATCTCTCCCGCAGTACATTGTGTTACCCTCGGCTTGACTGCAAGGAACGACAACTCTGATACTGATAGAATTGTAGATTACTAAATATATAATATACAATTTACAAACATTTTAAAAGTCAAACTGAATACAGGAGTATCTCCCTCAGTTCTTCATACTCTTGTGATTTCCTTAACATGTCAAGGTCATGTTACAAATTCTAAATTTATGTTGCAAAAAGTTTTTTTAAGATCAGATACGCAGATATGCTTAATAACGATTTCCTTGCATATTCATGATTAATATTTTTGTATAGAAGAAAATATCACCATAATAGTATACAGATAATAATATATTACAGGTATATGTACGAACATGCATATAGTATACAATTTGTATGTTAGTTGACATGTACCAGACAATATTTAAAAAGCTGTACAATAGCTTTATATCATCAAGATTATAGACTTTATTGTGTATAGTATCACAGAAAACTACAATATGTTATCTGTATTTGTTGGATGTCTCGTTACAGGCGGGAGATTTCCTTATCTCACTCTAGGGTTGAGACGGGGAATTCCCCTGTCAGACAATGGTGTGATGTCACAGTAACAATTCACAGACGTCACGTCAACAGTACAATAGCGCCTTCGTATCTATGACGAAATGTCGACGATAAGAAGCATCGAAACAACAAAAATATGCACATCACTAGTACAGTCAGCAGGCTAAGAGAAAAATAAAATGACCATTCACCACCCACTTGGAGGGGAAAAAGGGAGGATCTCAGCTCTCGGGGAAACGATCTTTATGTCACAAACATCCAGTAAGCCTTCTATAAAATCCTAATCCCAGACTGGCATTGTGTAACAAAAACTTCCTCGAAGCAAAGATGTTACAGACTGTCAGCCCGCGATAAATCCATGTGTAGCATAACGAGTATATGGGCATCTATTTTCTCCACTGCAATATGTAGTTCGTTTACATCTCTTTTTGGTTATACATTTGTATATGACGTCATTTCAATTATGACATCACCTATCGAGAAATATCACGTACAAATACCAGGAAGTTCACACGAGACAGGAAAATCTAAAACTGGAATTTAGCTCAATAGGAAATCAAATATGGTTTTATTATAATTGTAGAAAATCTACTTTTGACCATTTTTAAAATCATCATTTGATATGCTGGTTAATTCTTTTGGATTATGTAAACTTTTTTCTTATGTTTTTATTGTCACATAATTGTTTAGTGATGTGTATAAATATGTATATGAAAATCGATAAAATCGACAAATCGATAGCAGGACGTCCTGCGAAAATATTCCAACGATCCAGCTCTCTAAGGCTGATAGTGTATGCAATTTGACAGTTTTTGTTGGGATCTATACTTATTCATCTTTAATTTCTAACAATACCACGCTGTAATTATACAGATCGTATTGTATCTTTCTTATTTCTTGTGAACGCGAACACATACGGTGATCTGTAGCAGTGACGTGGTCACTTACAGATGTAGACATCGTAGTCACGTGTTGATGTAGACACCCTAGTCACGTGTTGAAGTAGACATCGTGGTCAGGTGTTAATGTAAATACTGTAGTCACATGTTGATGTAGACACCCTAGTCACGTGTTGAAGTAGACACCGTGGTCAGGTGTTGATGTAGACATCGTGGTCAGGTGTTAATGTAAATACCGTAGTCACATGTTGATGTAGACACCCTAGTCACGTGTTGAAGTAGACACCGTGGTCAGGTGTTGATGTAGACATCGTAGTCACGTGGTGATGTAGATACCCTAGTTCAATGTTCATTTAGACATCATGGACGTGTATTGATGCCTACAACGTGGTCACGTAACGGTGAAGACATCAGTCGATGAAGTGGTCCATCGGGAGTTCGGAAACAAATCATACTGCCATGACTTCTAACGCCATTAAGTAAATGACAAATCAATGTAATATGTTATACCGATATCAAAGCATTTACATTATTAATCACTTTCATCTCTAAAGTACTAGTAACTGATCAGAGCGTCTATAGTCTCTGGTTCCTAGAGATTGTCGCCAAACTGTTGTTAGTGTTTCTGGGAAATTTATATAAAGGATTAACTTATGGGTCTTTTTGTCGAAGCATTACGGAGCTGATTACGTTTCAAAGTCCGGTATATTTAAGCAAATGAATGGCAATACTACGTGTGACGTGGGGAAGCATTCCAGAGATATTTACTGCTACCAACATTCGGCCGTATGTGTCAAACCAGCGTTAGTAGCTCTCCAAATAGTCTTCCTCGTCTGTATCATCATAATGAGTGTGACGTCATGCGCGCTACTTATTTACGTCGTGCATCGCACGAGGTCGATGGCAACATCGATGAAGGCATGTATTATGAGTTTGTCAATTGCCTACATTCTGTCATCCGTGTATCCCATACCAATCCTGTGTTATTCCATAGTCTACTCTCATCTTGTCATCGCCGACGTCGTTTGTCGCTCATCTCCGGTGGTTGTCATGGTGTCATCAATATCCACTAACTGGACACTGGCTTTGGTCGGTGTGGACAGATTCCTCACCATCTTCCGACCATTTACTTACCCAATAACTATGAACCTCCGGAAGAGTCTGTCGATGGTCGTATCGACGTGGTTTCTGGGTATAGTGTTCGCTCTCCCACCGTGTCTAGAATGGGGAGGCATAAGTATATGTTTCCAGCCAAGGACTCTACAGATCTGCGGAATCACATGGAAGGTGTCTAAGTCGTTCTCCTACATAACGTGGTTTCTAACAGTTTTGGCACCCCTGTGTCTTCTCGTGTTTTGTTACTCGAAGATTGCACTGTTGGCAAGGTCATTGGTAGAGCCATGCTATGGAGGCCGTAATGTCATACGAACGTCACGTGACCACAACGTTTCCTCTGGACGACGACAAGTGCGAAGGACAGGATCCGTCACCTCAAGTCTCAGGACTTTCAAACTAGTTATCATTAACATAGGTAAGATATGTGTATATCATCACGGTAGGTTGTCTCAAAGTAACCCTACAATTTAAATCACAGATTAATGAAGTATGATATTCGAGCCGACTGATAAATTTTATTATGGAGATATCAGTGAAGATTTCCTATTTAATTTGATTTATTTCTTGTGTCTCATTTTTATCTGCCTGTAATTTCAACCCCATTTCACGTTTCTATTTTCGACTACACATTATTTTTTAAACCAGAATGTCCCTACCATTGCCGCTTCGGATTCCTCCTAACGATCCCGCTGTCTTAACACCTTGTCATAACTGTTCTAGAACATTTCTATAGCCTCAGTGTTTGGTATGGCCATCCTTGCCGTCACTAATACAAACAATTACATCTTGCTTCTTGTTCATTATGACACTCAGTCACTTTACGACCACGAATGCTATAGGTACTATTTGTCTGTGTTAGAGAGCCCATTCTTTGTTGTGTTTACATCACAGTTGTACGTTCTATCACACGTTATCTTCACGCTCCGCCTCGTGTATTATAATATATTTCTATATTGTTTTCATCCCACACTAACCATTATGTTTTACGTCCCGTATGTTGTAGGTACCATCTGTCTATGCTGGGCTCCCTATACAGTGTTATCTGTGCTAAATCTAGAAGATGGCGACAGAGCAGCAGTTCCGTACATTCAGGACTTCATGTGGTACTGTTTACTCTTCCTGCCTAACTTTGTCAATCCGATAGTGTTCATCGCCTTTAACAAAGATTACCGGGATAGCGTCACTCGACTGTGGTACCGGATATGGCGCCGAAGAGGGGATAACTCTATTGTGACATATCCATCTCTCACCCTCGCATCAACTCAATGGGATAACACAGGGATTACCACCTGTAACACTGTGAATAACATGCGGACGTCGAATACGCTGACACGAGTGTTTGTACGCTAGGTGTAGAAAGTCGGTACACTACCCGTATAAGCTCAAATTTCTGGAAAAAAGTTTTTAACTTGTATTTCATGGATGTTACATGGATGTGTTTTAATGGTAAAACAACTGTTAAACTGGAAATTAATATGAAATATGGAAAATATATCTTAGATTTATGTGACGCTCTTTTAAATGTGAAATTGGAAAAACCATTTTTTTCTAAAACTGCAATTAACAAATACGGACATTGCGATACGTAAGAGTGAGACAAATTATTCTGATGTACTACCGACATTTTTATGTCATAAGCTGATACCAATGTCATATTTCAAATTTCACAACAAACATATACAAACATGGAGATTATGGTAGGAATTCGACCACGTGACTAAACGAAAACTCGCATGCCGAAAGTATGTCCCAAAGTTATGACGCATATCAATGCAAAAATAAACCAGCTGAAATTCTTTATCTTAAATGATTCACTGCACGGTCATATTGATTGCTCAAAAAGACAGAAGTGAAATATGTGGATGCAGAGCAAACGGCCGCTGTTTACGAAGTTGTCTGAACTTCTTCGCATGTGCAAACAGTAGCGAGATTACAGGCATGACAAGAATATTAAGGCAAACGCACGTTCAGATTGTGTATTATTTTTCTCACTTATAAAAGGACATGGGTTCTGACGTTCATCGACTTCAGACTGATATAAAGTCTAGAGAACGTCCGAATAATATGGACAAGATAGACAGTAAATTATGTATACACTAATGTTCATGTTCTTTGTCAGCGATGTAGTACCCCCGTCGTAGTGCACTGAAAATGCTGCGGTAGTTTTGATAAAAAAAAGTACCAAACAGTTCTTCTTTTTCTGCCAAAATTGGAAATATTCAAATTTCACAATTTCATGTAAAGAATACATTGTGTGTTTGTGTAAAATGTCCCGCGACACTTAGAATTTATCGTCTTACATATCAGTGTTTTACAAGATAAATGTACGTTTGAATATAAGACCTGTGTAAAAGACACTCTCAAATGTACATATTAAATTGCACATTTAATTCTTCTCTGCAGTAGACATCTTATATACATATCTACATATGTTTTCTTTATCAGATTGCAAAAAACACGTTCAAAAGGAATACTGAAAAGTGCGGAAAACAGGTCAGTTTTGAAAGAACTTATGTTGGATCTGAAAAATGTAATAGAGTTATGTCCCTTTAATTTACAACCAACCAGTGAAATGACACGGTTTGATTTCACAAAGAGTTGTTTCCCTTCTGCTATGCACAGTTTTCAAACAAACTATACGGAGTTACAACAGAGACGTATATATCACGTCTCTGGTTACAATAACCGAGGACCGAAATGTTACTCACAATGACCGAAATGTAACTATTGAGGACGAAATTGTAATTGGTCAGGCCCAATATCAACTACCGGTATTGAGGACCAAAATGTAATTGGTTAGGTCCAAGGTGTAACTTTTGAGGACCAATTGTAATTGGTAAGGCCCAATATGGTATTGAGGACACTGCACAGTGTAACTAACAGGGACTAATTTGTAACAACTGAGGGCCAAAATAGGATTGACAAGTGATATCGGTCAAGGACAAATGCTTCTGAGATTAAATGAGTGTGAACAATATATATCATGGACCACTTGATAAATAAGCCCCTCTATAGATTAAGACAAGAATAATAAATGAGTAGGCGGGGTTCATTGTATAACCCTAATAGTACAAGACACACGCCAATAGCACCTTTTCATATAAATTTATAATCAGGCACAGAAGACCGAAACAATAAATTAAACTGCATCATACAGCTGTTTTGTCTTTCTATGGCTCGTCAATGATGCTGATGGTCTAGATTTTAAACCGAGGAGGGGACTAAAGAAAGTGATCGAAAGAGAAGTGAAATTTAGACGGGGAGGTGTACTTGCTCCATAAATCTATAAATTTTGTAAATTAAACGTTCATATATCTTATAATTTTAGAACAACGTCAAGTGCACGTGTATAATCTTAACTGTGACACTATTCGAGTAAATTACAACAAAGCATACTGGTTACAGCGAACCTCGAGGACTGAAAATCCACCAGCAGTGTCTACAAACTGCACTTTCGAAGATTGTACAAAGGACACACAAGCGAAAAGCACCTCTTAATAATTTAGGGTTAGATACAGTATAGCCAAACAATGAATTCAACTGTATCATACAGCTGTTTCACCCATCCCAGATCCGACAGTGATGCGAGCCACTGTTCACTTCGTTGATACGGGTATATGTGGCGAGTATTCTGATAGACAGGACAGTACCTATGGTTGCTTCGTTGATACGGGTATATGTGGCGAGTATTCTGATAGACAGGACAGTATCTATTGTTACACTTAACTGACAACTAATAACGTTAATTTTGCCCATTTTAAACTAAAATAGTAAATAAGATTGAATATTTTTTACAACCTTTCCTTGTCTCGACCACGGAAAATCGATTTAATTCCCCTTTTTTGTGGACGCTTTACACGAAAAGAAAAGAAAGATGAGAGAAAATAGATATCCAAACAATACAATGCAATAAGTGCCATCATTATTGTGTCTAATCTGGATATCACTACATGTATGTCCACAGGGAGACATTTTGAAAACGAAGTCTTGGTTTTGCAGGGAACTGCCACATAAGTCGCCTCGTACACTTTAAATGATTCTGTTTTGTTTTCTTGTTTTTGTTTTTGTTTATTTGGGGTTTTTTTCTGACTAGGTCTAATCTTGTAAGGGCCTATATATCACTATAGATTATTAGCCTAACACATAAACCCGGTTAGATATGTTCTGCAGGACTTGGGGTGTCACTGACACAGACACGTGTCTACAAATCGATGCTTTCATCTTCATTTATTATGGTGTGTACGCGCGTGTCATATATATTTAATGGGCGCGATAAACAAACCGCATCGAGTGTCACCAAGTCAACAATACAAATACACGACAGACAAACACAGGTGATAATACATAAACAACACATGAAGTTAATACATAAACAACACACACAGACAACTCGTGAACAACACACACAAACAGACAACTCGTCAACAACACACACATACAGACAACTCGTCAACAACACACACAGACAACTCGTCAACAACACACACAGACAACTCGTCAACAACACACTCACAGAGACAACTCGGCAACAACACACACAGACAACTCGTCAACAAAAAAAGCGTGTCCCCGCTTCTCTATATCGTCAGAACGGACATTATCGTTGGTAGAGTAAAAATTAAGGTCATTGGAGAGCTTAATGGAAAACTTAAACAGGGCACAGCTACCGTAATGACCAAATTCCAGTTAATGATTAAAAGTATGTAATATTCAGAATGTGAAATATGAGTAAGGATGGCAATACCCAAATATGTATATCCCACAGGCGGACTTGACAGCCGGGTTACACTGTATGTACTTGGAGTGAAATAAAGCTCAACACCGGAGTGAACGGGAAACATGGCACAAATAGCTTACACTGTATGTACTTGGAGGGAAATAAAGCTCAACACCGGAGTGAACGGGAAACATGGCACAATTAGCTTACACTGTATGTACTTGGAGTGAAATAAAGCTCAACACCGGAGTGAACGGGAAACATGGCACAAATAGCTTACACTGTATGTACTTGGAGGGAAATATAGCTCAACACCGGAGTGAACGGGAAACATGGCACAATTGAGTAACACGGTCTAATTAACGATAAACTGTCGATGAAAATTAGGATATGAAATATGTGTTTGGATGACCATACATAGATATACTGAAGGTTCGGTTGTGACAGCTGAAATACACGTATTTTAAAGGAAGTAAGGCAAATCGGAGAACTTTAACATGGCACGCTTGGACAAAGTCCAATGAATTGTCAGCTATGTACTAAAATCTTAATTGAAAATATTACTAAGATTCTCTTGATTATAAATAACCATAATACATAAATTGGAATGACAGCACTTGTTTTTTTCACATTAATGAATCTGTTTTTATTCATCTTTCTTCCTGCTTTAGTACGTACAGATACACAAAATACATACAATCAACATTATTCAGTATGTATACTTAAAGATATCTTTTTAAAAGTTGTGGCCATATCACGTGTATCGTACAATTTTAGAGTTATATGTAGATATTGAAACATAAAAATGACAGGAAAAATGAAAAACTTGAAAACCAACATATAATTTTAGGGTTAACACATTCTAGTGACTGAAAACGTGTTAACCGGTAGAGCAAATACATTTTATCGCATGGTTTATCACGTGATCTAACAAGAAGGATGAACTTTAGTCGCTAACAGTATTAGGTTGTTTGTTGGCATTCCGTTAGGGTGACATCGTGAATTATCTAAAACTAAAGGTGCATTGTACTTAAAGTGAAAGAGAGTCGTTCGGTTATCAAATGAAAGATTGCTGCTAATATCGGGATATAAAGAATCTCCGCTAGTGTTAGACAGTAGTTTCGTAATCACACTCGCGGCTTCTGATTCTATAATCACCGAAAATACACTCATCTGATATCTCACAGCAATATGCTAACAATGGAATTATATGTTTCTGCTTACGCATAACACTTATTTGTTTTGATACTTTTTACAAATATCTCCATTAGGATTTACTAAACAATTTCCGTCCATTATGACTCCACGTGCCTATGATTTTTTACTAACATTTACACCGTCGCATTTTTTAACTTATATTGTCGTATTCAGAATTATGAATCAGTAGTGTTTTTGCAGGATTGATGTTTCTCGCCTATTCTTTAATGTTTTCTATATTATATTGATACAATGTAATTTCGATGATGTAGGAAAATGGATCAGATAGCGATAGAGCCGTGTTATCTACAAATAGTTTACAGAGGCTGTGTAGATTATCAGACATTTTAAAGAGACTAAGATAAAGACCAAGTATAAAATCTTGTAGGTTGACGACATTATAAGTTTTAGTACCGTCCAATAAAACTACCTACTT